TTTAATTATCATCATTATTGTCTATCATTCTAATAGCAGTAACAATCATTGAATGTTGTTTGATGATCAGCTTTGTCTCCTTGTTTGACCTTGATTAGTCAATTACAATCTGAATGGCTTACATCTGTTTCCGATAAAATTAAACTCATAACTGATCAACTACTCCACCTTCTCTAATCCAGACCCATTTTGATTAAGATTAGAAGTCTTGGTTGGATAGTCATTGTTGGAATGAACATAGAAATATACATGTCTTCGTTCACACATCAGCCATACAGAACATTCAGTGATTGAAATGAAAGTGAGACTTACTTAATACTTTCGTCTTGTAACTAAATTGGTAGAGCACCCAGCCTATAATCAAGAAGATATTTGTCTGAATTCTCCACTGACCTAGATTTATAGTTCTAACGATGTGTATATAGCCTATAACGACCTGTGGATCATAGTAAGCTGTGAATTCGAGAACAAAGCACATATACCAGTCAATCAGAACCCGAATTTCTAGGGTATTTTAAGCAATATATCGAAACTTTACCACCTAATACACAGACTTAATCATATTAAAGCTGAAAAATTGTGTGTGAACACTAGTCCCTTGTCTGAAACGTAATTCAAACCTTCTGAGAAGAGTTCAAATAGTACCTCTCAATATTGTCTTAATAATATCAGGTTTAACCTACTATAAACAACTTCATAGGCTGGAGGTCTTCTGTTTATCTTATCGTAGACAGAGACGAGACCCATTTATATCATATAGAATTATAAAACATGACTATGGACATGATATTTCTGCTTGTTTGGTCACAATGAAGTCAAGACAAATCATAGGACATAATAGAAGAGCATAAAATTCAATGATGAAGCCTATCGCTGTTAAATATCGGTTTCACATCACGTAACCAACTTTTGAAGGAAGTGATGTAAGCATCATCGACTGATACATTCAAGCAGGAAATGGAAATCATAGGTTAACAGAAAAAGATTAGCATAGGTCGATACTATTTTAACCTCAAGTAAAAAGTAGATGTTTGAAGATCTGATTTATAACTTTTTGAAATGATCCTAAACATTTATGAAACCAAATCTGGAAGCCAACACAAGATATAAAGGTTTTTAAATCCTGTAACAACTGACTGATACTTCTAAGCCAAGTTTCAAAGAAATAATAATAACACGTTTCAAATTAATCCAAAGAGAATCAAATTTAGGCATTTACAAAATACATAGTCCATGGTGAAACATTTCACCATCAAATTTCATGGAAGGTAAACTATCCAGATCATATAATGTGGATTAAACAACTCGACATGTTGAACTCACTCATTTTGGGTACATCAATGATAAACTTGATCCCAAACGAGATACATGTCTAGCAAAACACTATTGATCTATGTGAATGGTCTACAACTACTCATTTAGTATATTACTTTACTACAACAGAATTATGAAGGAATGAGAGTTTTTATAATTTACTTCTGTGGTATGTTTATGAAGTCTCTGTGAAATGACCAATTATTATACAGAAGAAGTATTCATCATGGACTGACATCAGTTGGGGAACCACTGAAAATCTGAGAGCACTGGACAGCTGTTTAGTCCTACTATAGAACTCCTCAGCAGTACGTACCCACGAACATTACCACATTACTGTATAGTGCTGATTAGTGACTTGCTTCCAGAGGGATATCAAGAAGCTCTAATGAGAAGCCGTGACCTGTAGGGTCAACCAGTCGGATGTGAAGTGGATGCTAACTGAAAACTTTGGGTGACAGTCACGTTATGTCGTGAATTGACAGAAGTTGGAAATTGTGAACCACTGGAAACCACCTACCCAATGGTTGAATGGTTAACTCGTTCGCCGTGAAACCTGAAGCTCCTGAGTTGGATCCCTATCCGGGTCGTGAGTGTGTACTGTTGAGGAGTTCCATACTGGAACGAAACAGCTATCCGGTGGTGCTAGATTTTCAATGGTTCCCTAACTGATGTCAGTCCATGATGAATGCTACTTCTAAATTAAAACAATCCCCATTCATCTCAAAAATACATTAATTATTATATACTTCCTATGAAATCTAAATCAAACTAATAGATGAATGAAATCGGAAAGAAATAACCTATTTTCACTGTCACTATGTTAGTTTCTAAAATTAACTTCTCATTTAGATGCTTAGTTAAGATATTGCCTGCCAGTTAGTTTTGAAAGAAACCATTAGAAATATTTTTCATCACTTTACTGGTTATAAATGAATAAAATTATTCAAATTGAAAGGCATAGACTGACAGAAGTATATAATATTCTTGAGTCTACCTACAACATTATCACTCACAAAGATCACCCCCTTCAAATATTATTCAGAGATTCATTATTACAAAACATGTTACAAAGATTAAATCAATGATGATAAAATTTGGTTTACACCAAAGTCGAAGGAAAAACTGAAGTGTTGTCATCGAAAGATAAAAAAAAGCTATCTCAATTCATTAGGAATATTACTGAAAGTAAATAGTTTGAAGTTGATGGTAGGCTGATCAAAAACTGTTTGTCTGTTTCACTGAACCCATAAATAACGTCACAATCTCTAAGTTACATTGTGAATAACCTAAGTGTTATTGATGAATGTGATATAAAGTTCTCAAGTGAATTAACATCTTATAATTTATTTAATTTTGAGCTTTGTCGGGGTTCATTCATTGATTTCACGTTATTATTCATCATGGACTGTTATCATTTGGATAAACATCGAAAACCTGGGAGAACTGGACAGCTGTTTCGTACGGTTATCCAGGTTTCCTTCCATGTCTCCTTCAAAGAGTTCCAGTGTTCTTCCATGCACGTTTCCTCGGTGATGTTGCTTAATATCTCCCATTCTGTTCTGATGACTGACGTGAAGATTTCCTTTGTAGCTTCGTCCTTCAGTTTCTGTTCCGAGCGTTCAACTTGATCTGTAGTCTATCACCAACTTCTGTGAAGGCTTTCAACTTGATTTTGAAGGTTCCTTGCACTAGGTAGTGAGTGGTGTGAACCTGCATCTCCTCCTCTTTGTGATCTGATATTGTGTCCAGTAGGCTGCGTCTCCAGTTTCTTGAGATTCAGATGAAGTCGATCTGGTTTTTAGTGTGTCCTGGTGCCTGGTGAAATCCATGTCACTTTGTGAATATTCTTGTGTTTGTACACACTGCCTCCAATCACCAAATCGTTGGATGCGCAAAAGTCTGCAGACAGTTCTCCATTCTCATTCATTTCGTCGAGTGCTTCTCGACCTATGATGAGTCCTCTTTCTGTTTTGTCTGCTCCCATTTTAGCATTCATTTCACCCCACCCATTAGAATTTTGATGTCGCCAACTGGAGTGAGGTCTTGTCGACTACTGATTGCATTTGTCTGTAGAATTCCTCCTTCTTCTCTTCATCTGCATTATTTGTAGCTGCATAGCGTAGCATTGTATGATTGTGACTTTACTTCCTTTTGAGTTGAACCTTGCTGTCATGATCCTGGAGGAGGACATTGGTTCCCACTGCATGGGAGAGAGAGAGAGACTTCGATGCACTTCGAGACATCATGATAGCCACTCAAAAACTCAGTGTGCTCGTGGTTGTCGTCTGGGTGACAATATCGGAGTAGATTATTGACTTTCCGTTCGACAGTTTGGAGAGTCCACTTTCATGCCACCTGCTTTCGCAGATTCCTAGCACTTCTATGCTATACCTTCTCATCTCTTTTGCAATCTGAGCAGCCTTGGTAGGTTCATACATGGTGCGGACATTCCATGTCCCTATCCTTACTTTCGCTTTCATCGACAGAAGCGAAGACACATCGGTTGACTGGTTTCCCGAAGGCTTTCACCAACTGGCGTCATTTCGTCTCTCCGATTCCAGTTAGGAATAAGTTTGTCTTTATTTTTTTATAGTTTCTTTGTGCTTTGAAGTTTCTTTAGCGATTGGACCGGTTATATAGGGTGGGGTTGCTAGCCTTATGTCCAACCTTCCCTTTTTATCCGGGCTTATGACCGGTTAGTAACTAGTGAACTGGTTAACTAGGCAAGGTTTTAGCATCTCATGATTTATTCAGTTTTAAGGTTTGTGGGGATTTATTGGTTTCACGTTATTATCCATCATGGGCTGGTTATCATTTGGAGAAGCATCGGGGACCTGGAAGCATTGGACAGTTGTTTCATCCTAGTATGGAACTCCTCAGCAGTGCTCACCAGTGGGTTCGATCTCTGACAAGGTCATGGGTACGCTTTGCTGGGAAGTAATCCTATACATGTACGAAACACATGTCCAGTGCTCTCACGTTTCTGCATGTTTCTACAACTGACATCAGTTCATGATGAATACCAACATGAAGTAATTGATTCTTCAAGTCAGGCTGTCAAAATAGTTTTCCATCAAAGATTGACACTAGTTAGAGAACAGTTGGAAATCTGAGAGCACTAAAGAGCTATTTTACCTAAGTTTGGCGTGCTTCAACAGTGCACAGCACGATTCTATGATAGATCAAGTTCAGTAATGAAGTTGAATACTCTGGATAATTGAATAAATATTAACCATATCATCTCGAGTAAGCTTTATCAATTAGGCTTACAATTGGTTTGAAAAGAAACTTTAATCGTATAACAATCTTAACTAAGATTTTGAAAATTATAAGTATGATATGTTGTTCCAGCTTAGCTGTATAGGATTACTTTTCATAATTCATTACAATCAAATTTGGTTGAATCAATTTTTCTCACCTTACAAGGAAATACTTCCCCCTTCATATTTCAGATGTCACATATAATGCTGACTCAATGTAGAGTATATTGAAACAATCATATTCTTAAAAATCATATGCATGTTCATGAATTAAGCAATAAGTCATACTTAATATATAGTCAAGATTGATGATACTTGCTGCCTAATTGCCCAAACCTCAATCAGTGGAGCAGGACTCGAACCCGGGACCCATTTGTCGGAAACTGACTGTCTCAGACCAATAAAAATATTTAAAAAAAGAAATTAAAATGTAAGAAATAAATTCTTGTATTTTTTTTTCGTAAATGATGTAAATAAATAAGTCAAAAATGCCAGAAATAGACCGTAAAACAAGAAACATACAAATAAACAAATAAGGTATACCTTTGTCCACTGTTATTATATTATTGAACATAGAATATTATTAGATAATACAACATTGGGATAAACAGTAGACTTTCTAATACTCATAGTATTTTTAATGCAATTTACCTCCTTTTATCTTCCTTCCTTGTATATTCAATAAATTTAAAGTGTGTACAATACACAAAATTATTTTAAATTGTATAAAAGTAGAAGAATTTGATGAACAGGTTCAATGACTTATTGACAAGGTATATATGAACAGGTACAAGTTAATGTAGAGCAGGAATATAAATAGGTGAAACAGTTGGTTATGTAATGTATATATGTGTTTATGTGTTCATGTTCTATTTTACAAGGGTAGAATCAATTTTCAATGCATCTGAAAAAAAAGATTTTTTTTTAAAAATACATAACAGAAATAATAACAAAAATATAATGTTAGTATTATTGTTTGTATTACACCGTCGTTGATTGGACAGAAATTGATCAATCTCTGTTAGCATATGGGCTTCTATGTGGATGCCTGGATATTGCCTGTCTTTTAACTATGTGTAGTAATGATGGGTAGTGGCTAGCAGTGGGATCCACGATGCGCATTTCGTCCTATTTGGGACTCATCAGCTGGATGTACCTGCCTCGCAGTGAATGATGTTGTTCCCATGCACATCGTGGATTCCACTGCTAGCCACTGCCCATCATTACTACATATAGTTAAAAGGTAGGCAATATTGAGGCATCCATACAGCAGCCCATATACTAACACAGACTGATCAATTTCGGTCCAATCAATGACGGTGTAGTACAAGCAACAACACTAAACCTATACCCATCGCACAAGAGGTGACTATCGTGGCTCGGTGGTGTAGTGGGTAACGCTCTCGCGTTTAAAGCGATGGCTCCCGAGTCCCGGTGGGGACAACATCACTCACTGAGAAACATGTACATGCAGCTGACGAGTCCCAAGTGGGACGAAATGTGCATCCTAGATTCCACTGCCCATCGTTGCTCTTTGTAGTTAAAAACACTATAATTATTATGGACTGACATTAGTTGGAGAAGCATTTCTGCAACCGATCCCAGTCTATGATGAATACCGAGCTAAGGTTAATAAACAAATCCCTATAAACCTGTAAATTGAATTATTTTAGTGCTTATTAGTGGCTAGCTTAAAAAGATGATTATGGAAGTTCCAATAAAAAGTCGTGACCAGTGGGGCGAATCACGTTCACATGAGAACGAATGCCGAACGATGATATTAGGTGATCGCCACCGTATATCGTGAACTGACCCAATTAGGAAATATGGACTGATTATCTAGTATGATAACGATGACCGGACAGTTTTGATTCACACATTCATATGAAACTAGGTCAAAATCTTAGGTGACTGAAATAAAACTAAGACAGGATCTCCGGCTCAGGTGGTAATCTCTTGGCTCCTAACTCATAGGTAGTTGGTTAGAATCCTGGGATGACCCAGACTTTTATTTCACCTTCATCATAATAGTCAAATTCAGCTGATTAGCTTCACTTGATGTAAACACAACAGCCAGTCTTGTTCGATCTAAATACATATAACACTAAGAAGCAATGTTCCACAATAAATTGGTTGTGGCTAACAACGGAATCCAGGGCGCAGGTTTCTCCCAATTTCATTTGAAGCAGTGGGTACGACGTCCGAGTCTCAGTGGGAACAACAACACTCACTGGGATGCAGGTGCATGCAGCTGACGAATCCTACATAGGATGAAACACGCTTCCTGGATTCTTCTGCTACTCAAAACCAACCAAATAACCATAATTAACATTCAAATAATATCGAGGCATCCGCATAGGAGCCAATGTGCCAATAGAGGTTGGACAATTTGATCCAATAAAACAACGGAGAATTGCAAGTATATCAACAAACAGTAAAAAATAGTTATCGTTTATTAAGATCCTTGTAATGTTTCTGAAAAAACTTGTACCTAATTTTTACAAATGATTTTTGTCTACTTATTATCACAAGTCAGTAGTATATCTGGATGTCTATGTTTTCATATCGGAGAGTAAATGTCTCGTATTTTCGACCAATTAGTGTTTCATCGAAAACCCTATTGACATCACATCACACCCAAAGAAAACAAAAATCGTTTTTGTCTCCAACATATATCTGTATAGCCTATGGATAACTCTCTTTTGATGCCCAACTATAGAACTCTTAAAAAAGGATATTATCAAAATGAAAATTTGCTTTAATTTGTGTACCTAGTCTGATGACAGTTCTCAAAAGTGGTCTTGGAAAACCCTTCGTCCAACAAAATACTTCCAATTTAATGGCAAGATATTCAAACCGATGAAAGGAGCATCAATAGGATCACCAATATCCAGATTAATTCCAGAAGAAGTGATTCAGAGACTGGAAACCATCATCTTACCTGTGATCAAACCAAAAATTTGGATTCGCTGCATGGACGATACTTTTGTCATCACTAAGAACGATAATATTAGAAAACACTCACAGTTTGATCAACAAAGTTTTCAGTTATATCAAATTCACAGCGGAGAAGAAGTTGGACAACCAACTACCATGTCTGGATGTTAGTAAGTCGAACAAATGCCGGAAAGCTGGAAATCCAAGTGTACAGGAAGCCAACACACACTAAATCCTCAACTATAGCAGCAACAACCTGCAAGATCACTTGCATGAGGACTCTGTTCAGAAGAGCGAGAATACACTGTAGTACAACAGCTCCAAGGAGAAACGAAGAAAATTACTTGATGTCCGTCCTCAGGAAGAACGGATACCCACGAAATTTTATCAGAAGATGCGTATCCCGTACATCATCAACTACAAAGTCATCGACAGAAATCAACGAGTGTATCATCCTACCGTTTATAAAAAATATATCAGAAATCACAACAAGACTACTGAGATTACTTGGAATTGGTGTGGCTTATAAACCAACAAATTCCCTTTAAACACTATTATATACAGACCAAATGATGCAACAGCAACCAAAGAAGACAAACCGAATATCATTTACAAAATCAACTGCAATAACTGTAGTCAACACTACATTGGACAAAATGGTCACCGTCTTCGCCTCTGTCATATACATGAACACCAATTGGCTATTAAACTTCATGACATTTCATAACTCATTTCAGTGCAAGTGGACAACAACTATGGACATGAATTCAATTTCGACAATATAGATAGAAATCCTAGACGAAGAGAGGATACAGAAAGAATAAGAGAGAATTTCTAGAATCTTAATATTCATTTCAAACATAGGCCCAGTTTACCAAACAATAAGAAAAATTGTAAACAAGGTTAGAGGTCAAACAGTGGAACAGCCAACAAGAAAATCTATGCAACCATAGGATACAACCAATCCTAGACCACTTCGTCAGAGTAAGCTACTGGATCACTCACACAGAAATAATGTCAGCTGACTTCATGATGAAGTCAGTGCTGAAGATGTCGTCTAGCAGGACGATGAAAGCTCTACGATATAACAACCCAACTCAGACCATCTTCCTGAGCTACAAATACTCTCCATCAAACATATATATACATGCGTTGGTTTTGTAGCGTTCTGTGAGCTGGACAATTTAATCGTGAAGCTTTTGTTATCACTCTAGACAACATTACTAGCACTAACTTCAACAGGAAGTGGGGTATCAATATTTTTTGACTGAGGGATTCAATAGCTTGACCTGACAAAGTGGTGTATGCTGGCAACGAAGGCCTCATGATTCAACTATTCAGCTTAGAGGACGCAATACAACCAAGATCAACCGCTATATATATATATATATATATATATATATATATATATATATATATATATATATATATATATATATATATATATATATCCCTTTAATAGTATGTTTGACTGTTGTGCTGTCTAACTCAACTTGAAGTCTCTAGGATACAGTGAATTTTCTCAATGATGACTGCCAATAAACACAATATCCAGGTTAAGTAAACTTTCCTATCGATAATCTCCAACGATCCAACATCATGTGAAAACAAGATAAATAAAACAATTAGTTCCTTTTATAAACTTCGACAAAACAATAAGACGTAATTTGTCTGAACCGTGTAATGTATTTGCGCAACACATTTCCAACTATCTGATCACACACGTACTTGTCATAGGTATTTATATAAAAACTCATGAAGATAAGGGGTGAGAAAATAAAAAGGGGTCAGGTAGGAAGGCTGACTTAAAGGCCGAATAACAATGAAAATCAATAGAGCTAAAAGTAATGGTAAATCGAACATGGTTTTCAATAGTTGAATTTACCAAGGAAGGTTTAATGTGACAACAAATTGTTTATGAACACATAAAGGTGGTTTCAACTTTCTAATAGCTAAGGCTTCAACAAATTTCAGGATCCTTCCTCAACGTGTTTTGTAAATAGGCGTACCAACATTTGGTAGCAGACGTCTAAGTTCTTCGATCGCCAAACATATTGTTAAGACAGTCCACAGGATTGATATGGCTACTTCCTTTACACCTATTTACAAAACATATTGGGGAGGGATCCTGAAATTTGTTGAAGCCTTGGCTATTAGGAAGTTGAAACCACCTTTATGTGTTCATAAACCATTTGTTGTCACATTAAATCTTCCTTGGTAAATTCAACTACTGAAAATGAGGTTCGATGTACTGTTATTTTTCGCATTATTTCAATGGTTTCCCAACTGATGTCAGTCCATGATGAATACTACTTCTAAATTAAAACAATCCCCATTCATCTCAAAAATACATTACTCTATAGTGCTCATTAGTGACTTGCTTCCAGAGGGATATCAAGAAGCTCCAATGAGAAGCCGTGACCTGTAGGGTCAACCAGTCGAATGTGAAGTGGATGCTAACTGAAGACCTTGGGTGACAGTCGCGTTATGTCGTGAATTGACAGAAGTTGGAAATTGTAAATCACTGGAAACCACCTACCCAATGGTTGAATGGTTAACTCGTTCGCCGTGAAACCTGAAGCTCCTGAGTTGGATCCCTATCCGGGTCGTGAGTGTGTACTGTTGAGGAGTTCCATACTAGGACGAAACAGCTGTCCGGTGGTGCTAGATTTTCAATGGTTCCCCAACTGATGTCAGTTCATGATGAATACTACTTCTGAACTATTGGTTTTCCTTGTTATTCGGCCTGTAATTCAACCTTCCTACCTAATCTCTTTTTATTTTCTCACCCCTTATCTTCATGAGTTTTTATATAAATACCTATGACAAGTAGGTGTGTGACCAAATAGTTGGAAATGTGTTGCGCAAATATATTACACGGTTCAGACAAATTACGTCTTATTGTTTTGTCTAAGATGGATAAGTTTTCAGTATGTGGAAGATACTCATCAAGACATGAAAGAAGGAGAACAATAAAAAGTACTTCATATAAGATGTAATCGGTGAGAACAGTATCTTCGTTCAGTCATTCATTTTCTGACAAATTCCTACTAATTAATAGGTTTCTAGACGTACGCTGAAAAAATTATTCGCAGACATCACGCATCAGGCCCTCAAGTGGATTCCAGAGGGGAAACGACTATTTGGACATCCGAGGGTGTGACATAGAGGAGACCATGTAAGGAAGAAATGAAAGCTCATGGGCAGTCATGGAGCCATGTTGAAAAGACTTCAGAGAACAGAGTGGAATGGACACGTGCTAGTGAAGCCCTATGTTCCACTAGGAACCCAAGGGACTAATAATAATAATAATAATAATAATAATAATAGTAATAATAACAGATATATCAGAGCAAAAAATTTTCTCACCTTTAATTTTATTTGATAGTGATGTTTGTTTGTTTGTGACTATGTGTTGTTGATTGCTGACAGTGTTGACGTTGGTCATGATAATGATAATGTTGATTACTACATCTATGACGATATCCATCAAGAGATGAACGTCTAGAAAAGATTTCTTTAAACTGTCCAGAACAATCACTAGCTGAATCTTGATGAGATAAAGATAATTCACTAACACCAGTACGCATACTTTCATATCCACTACTAGATGGTCCACCACCACTACCAATGTGTACACTTCGACGAGTTGATCGATTTATTGATGCTGGCAACTTTCCACTATCAAAATTAAAGTAATAATAATAATAGCTATATTATTATAAATTGGTTTGCAGATACAATAGAAATGTAATTTGATTAGTATTTACAAACCAACTGCATAACGCAAAAGCCACTTACAAGTTTGTGCATTAAATTATACAATATCCAGTATGCAAAGGTTCAGTGATACTACCTACCTGTCGCCTTTACTGGTTTCAGGTTACTTAAAATATATTCTTAACTTTTAAGACTTTTGGAAGCAATTAACATATTAGCTGGAGGCTAGTTGAACTGTCCCACACATCGTTATAGTCGACTCCCCTGGTACTGAATAGTAGACCCATCCTACTTCGCTATTACAACACTAACTATCGATCTTTTTACCTTAGTTTCTCTTATAAGTCTAAATAGCTGCCTAGTGTTGCCTGTTGCCGATACCTTTCCGGCCTCTTTAGGCTTTGTTACTCACCACTGCTCATGTTTATTGCGTAGACTATTTATCAGTCTATATTTGAGTTACTTCCTCTCTTCGCTGTGCTTAAAGCCAGTAGGAGTGCGTTCAAATACATCCATTAATTGAGAGGAAGCTGTTTAGGTTCAGTGACCTCCCTTAGCCTTTTCCTGGGAGTCAAATGCAGTCTTTCACGCTGTTTTAACAGTAGACTTCAGATGCCACCAGACTTCTGCATGAATGAAGTTGCCCTGTTCCGATAACTGTTTAGCCAGTTCTTCATTTAAAGAAACCTTAATGCTCTTATTGTCGAGCTGCATTCCCAGTGGTCTTACAGCATCCATTAAAATGTGGAGACAGGCGTGCTCGAACCAACGCATGCTCACTGTCCAAGCACGTGCTCCGGAAGGAGCAGCAATCTTCCACAGACCCTCTTAAGCAATAACTGATGGCAACATGGTCTATCTGTGTCCATCATAGAGTTGCTCTGGGTGGAAGCCATATTTGAAGTTCGTGTGGCCAGAAACAAATGGTTGTATCAGCATATTTGTAGCTGATGATCACCGTTATCAGTTCGTTTGTGTAGGATTCCGAAAGTGCCTGACTTATCCTACCAACTTGTACATTGAAATCACTTGCAACAAATAACATGTTTAATCATGTGGATTTCAGCAGAAGGCCAGACACTTTTCGGTAGAATTGATCCTTCACTTCATCCAAACTGGAGCAGAGATTACAAAGGGATAATTGCCAGTTTCAGCATTCCTTTTTATCCTCCTTGCACTGTTCAGTTGAAAAGCCCATAGGTTAATGTCAACTAGGATCCAGCTGAGTCGAGAACTTTCTACTTTTACTGCTCAGTGCTATACCAACACGTATAAGACCACAGGAACTAGGCACCAGATTCACCCATTGATCGGATAAGGTTGTGTTAACAACACCACTCAAGTCCTGTATGAGTGTTTCACAAACAAAGACAACACCAATTTACGCGCGTTTCAGTTATCGAAGAGACATCATCCTTGATGAGATCTGCTGCCGACAATAAATAATATGAAAACAAAGTGACATTCAACTAGGATAATCAATTTTGGGTTACAAACCAGTCACCTCGATTTGCAGATTTTGCTAGCCAGATCGCAGTGATGTAAGCACAAGACAAGAAGTTGGCTTATTTGGAGCTGAGAGCCACAGAGATTTACCCAGATAAATTTAGCTTGGAGTGTCGAATTAATTAGATCACCTGAATCTGGCGACGTGACTTTGATGGACAGATATACGTTAAATACGATGATCCACGCTGACATTTCTGACAGCTGAGTAGTTTCACCACTGGCCAACTCTATCATAAACAAGGCTTCCACTACAAATCACCCAGTCAAAATCACAAAATACGATCTCACCCAGATATTATGAACTAACGAATTATGCTACCGAAGTATTTGAATAGTTTGAAACTATTCTTCAGATTATTATTATTATTATTATTATTTGTCTCTTGGGTTCCTAGTGGAACATACGGCTTCACTAGCACACCTCCATTGCACTCTGTTTTCGGCAAAATTTGAACCTGGCTCCACGACAGCCACAACCTCTCATTTCCTCCTCACATGGTCTCCTCCATGTCACCCTCACCTCGGACACCCAAGTCGTCGTTCCCCCTTTAGATCCCACTCGAGGGCCTGACACGTGATGTCCCCAGTCGGCCTTCTCAGTGCATGCCCAATCCATCTCCACTTCCTCCCCGTGCATATTTGTTGAGTGATAGGTTCTTGGGTGGTTCGTTGCCAGACTTGCTTGTTGCTTATTCTCACTATTCTGGCCATCTGATCTTCAGTATCGAGTGAGCGTAGACAGCTGTTGACGAATATTTGTAGTTTGTTGTAAATCACTTTCATAACGCGCCAAGTTTCTGAATCATATAGGAGCACTGACTTGATATTGGTGTTGAAAATCCGGATCTTGTTCACGCTTTTTACTGAGTGCAGATCTCCACACTGGTTTCAGGTTAATGAATGCCTGTCTTGCTGTCTTTGCGGTCCTGGCTGTCTTTGACGTCCTCATCTGTGCCACCACCTGTAGTTGAAACAGTCATGCCTAGGTGTTAGGTGAAAGAGGCTACTTCCTTTAAGTTTCTCTCGTTGATGGGGATTGCAGCTTGTTGTTGTTGGTTGGGTATCTTCATCACCTCTGTCTTCTCTACGTTCACTTGAAGTCCCGTCTTCCTTCGCTACCCTGACTCTCCTCTTCTGTCAACTAGTTAGTTTTCGCCTGCAGATCTTCAAGTTTGTGCAACATTAGACATAAGTCATCGGCGAAATTCAAATCTTCTAGGATTGTTTCCCTGGTCCAGCTAGCGTATCCCCCTCTTCTCGCTCCTCATGGTTTGTTGCATGATCCAGTCCACTACAATCAGGAAAATCATGGGTGATAGTAGACAGCCTTGTTTTATTCCTCTCTTCACTTCAAAAGCATCACTGAGCTTCCCATTGTGAATTAGTTGCACATTCTTCAGATAAAATAAGCTAACTGATTACTCACTACTCATATTATTCAGTAGTATAGTGGACTGGGGAAAAAAAACTCTTGTAGTAGGTAGTATAACTCAGCTGATAAGAGTTTGAAAACATTGACACATTTCAAATTTAATATTCATACATGAAGTATAGTCATCTTACCTAATTGTAGTGAATCCAGTCGATGCACTATTCCGTAGACCTGAACTTATCTCATTCTTGTGTTGAAATGATTCATTCTGTGTACTAACCAATTCATTATAATGAATATATTGATTTTGTAATGGAATACATTGATTAAGATGCTGATTATGATTAGGTTTTATCTGAGTATTCTCTGAATATTGATTCCATAAATGTTGATCAAATTGTTTATATTCATGATACATTGGATGATGTATATTAGTAGTGGGAAGATGAGGTGAAGGAGTATGATGACCTTGAAGTACAATAGATGATTGTGGGACAGAAACAGTAGGATATGAATACTGATTTTGATGAGAATGATGTAGATGACAGCAATGATAACAGTGATTATTATTATTATTATTGTTATTATCAGTATTTGGTTGAACAGATTTCACATTACATTCAGGTGATTTATGACCAAATGTTGTCAATTTCACTGGTAAACTTAATGAATGTAAGATTGATGGAGATTTCATCAATTCATCATTTCTACACTGATCATTATTGTTATGTAATAGTAATTTTTGTTCTTTTTTCATTATACTATCATTAGTATCCTTTTTAACTTTATTAAAATTACTTTTTTTATCTTTTCTACGTAAACGAAAATTTCGAAATAATGGTAAAGTTAAAAATTTTAATGATAATTTCATTTTTGATTTTTCTATTTGTTTATTAACATCTTCGTTGTTATGGTAACAATTGAGCGGGATATTTATGAATTGTTTTACATTTATATCATGGTTGATATTGTTTAATTTATTTAAATTTTTCTCAGTATTATCTAAATGAACTTGAATTGATCGATCATGTTGACTTTCTTTAATTGAATATTGATATGTAGATGCATAAAATGCTTGTTTTGGTGTTGTTTCAATTGAATGATTACAGCCTATTTGACTAGAATAATTTGAATGATAGGCAACATTGACATTATGATTAGGTGAATGATAATTTCCATGAGAATGTTCAATATTTCCATCTATTTCATAGGTTGTTCTGTTAAGTAGATTAGGCTCTTCAATAAATTTCATTGGAAATACTTCTGATGAATTGAAGGAAGGAGATTTTGACAGATAATTGTAAGATGGATGTAAATTATTAAAATGGTTAGTATTATTATCATTAGTATTATTACTGTAAGCAGACATTTCTTGAGATGAAAGAAAAATTGGAGTTGAATATGATTGTGGAATCTGACAAATATCATCAGATCTAGTTGAATAATATGGATAAATGTGAGGATTTGTATCATTATTAATAGATAAAAGGGATGGAGGTGGAACAACTGGTGATGAACTATTAAAGCAAGAGAAAACATTATCAAAAACAAATAGTGTCAATAATATGATTGCCATTGAATATATTTAACTACACTAACACTCAATAGTATGACAAATATTTTGTTTTCAGAGTTACACTACTTATAAGTAGTGTAAATTTTTAATAAATTTTATCCGATATCCTGGTCATTTGTGAAAACTCAAATCAGGCTACTTCAATTCTAAACCGACTGAACGAATTACAGAACAGCATATCTTTGACATGTGTAAGAGAGGAAAATGACTGCTTGCCATTCCTAGATACATTAATTAGTCGAAGGCAGGATGGATCCATAAAACGATCTGTCTACAGAAAACCTACATGGACAGGACAATATCTGAATTACCATAGCTTTTGCACAGTTCAGTACAAACGAACGTTAGTAAGGTGCTTATTCAGCAGAATTCAACGAATATGCACCGAGGATACTTTAGAAAATGAAAGAGGAACACTGACCGATATTTTGTTGGAAAGTAACTATCCATCAACATTTATCAGGCAGAACAAAATCAGCAGAGCGTGAAAACTAGAATTGCAATCAGTCCCAAAGAAAAATGTCTTCATCAGCCTTCCGTACAAAGATGACTCTCAGAGTGCAATTCTTAAGCAGAGACTCAACGCTGCTGTTAGAAGGACTTACTATGCAGCCAGGGTTCGAGTAATCGAAACCACGAAGCCCTTATATTCCCCCAAACCCCCACAGCATGTGAACGATAATGTCACATCCCATTGTATCTACCAATTCAAATGTACGTGTGTTGATACATACATTGGGAGGACTAATAGATCCATGCAAGTAAGGACCTCGGAACATATTCCAAAGTGGCTTCAGAAGCAAATTAAATCACCTGAACCTATAAATGTTGGTAGCAGACGTCCAAGTTCTTCGATCGCTAAACATATCGTTGAGACAGGTCACAAGATTGATGTGGCTACTTCCTTTACACCTATTTACAAAACATATTGGGGAGGGATCCTGAAATTTGTTGAAGCCTTAGCTATTAGGAAGTTGAAACCACCTTTATGTATTCATAAACAATTTGTTGTCACATTAAACCTTCCTTGGTAAATTCAACTATTGAAAACCATGTTCGATTTACCATTACTTTTAGCTCTATTGATTTTCATTGTTATTCGGCCTTTAAGTCAGCCTTCCTACCTGACCCCTTTTTATTTTCTCACCCCTTATCTTCATGAGTTTTTATATAAATACCTATGACAAGTACGTGTGTGATCAGATAGTTGGAAATGTGTTGCGCAAATACATTACACGGTTCAGACAAATTACGTCTTATTGTTTTGTCGAAGTTTATAAAGAGAACTAATTGTTTTAAATTTTTGAATAGAAGAAGGTTGATTATCATGACGAGCTAACTATATGCAGAGTTGCCCGTTAAAAAGGTTACGCTCACCATCTTGTTCGCATAGTTGCTTTTCCAATGCTTATACAAGTCATTAATACCACCACCACCAAAGATGATTACATAACCTGCTTATTTATTTAAGCCTTCAAAATGAGATAATTACTAACTTAACTGTAAAACAGTTTATCTTATAGTTTAAATAAACAAGTTGGCTTTCCATGTATCAGTCACAACATTTATTTGAATCTATGGAGTTGTTAACCTTAGCAACATGTTGTCTATTATCTAGTATCCTCTCCTCCTACCAAAAACAACATGAAACTGGTAAAAGTGGCAACTTATAATTAATTCCAGTCGGAATAATAGTAATAATACTAGTTATTATTATTATTATTATTAGTGATAATGATAATAGTATTGATAGTAGCAACTTGTTTTTACTCAAAAGAGTGTCTGGTGATAAAATAGGTATTATTTTCAAGTTTGCCTACTCTAAACACCCTTGAAACTTGTCACTACCCTGCCCTCTGCTCCATCACTATCTACCTTTAAAGGGTAGTCACAATCTCATAAATCATTATCAATGAAAATGAGTTAAAAATTTTAGACGTTTAGTTTTCTGTGAGGAAATGAATAATTTACAACATTAAATCATTTAATCATTAAGGTTGATAGTTTTTCTCAAATCAACATTAGGTGAAATTAAAGAATCTTGCAAACCTTGAACTTACCAATACGAAAGCAGGTGATATATATTATAAATTTAATCGAAAACAAAGAGAATAATTACGATGAATAGGTTCCTCTCTGCCTGGTTTAAAACTTTTCAAAGATTTTAGATAATTTCTTGAGGCTTAAAGTTAAAATACTTACAACACAAAAGCTTATCCATATGACTCCATATCCTTAAGTTATGTGATCGGTCATTCAGACACAAGTAATCATTCAACTGACTTCACATCACCTGCACATTGTTTGCATGCATCCTAGTAGATGGGTACATGCCAACAGATAGACAGAATCAACATAGAACCTCGGTTCAAGTCACCACACTTAACAAAGTAAGAAAAAAGCAAGTGGATAGTAAAACAGTGATATCAAAGTAGATGAAGTTGTGTGAATGAATAAACAATCTGAAGATAACGGTTAGTGAGAATACTCAAGCTTTGGAAGATGTTAAGGAGTGAGTACATCTGCGCTATCATGACTGATTTTTAGTCATGTCATCAAAAGTCCTCAACCACTCACTCCTATTATCTCAAAGACCTCGTTTAGACAGTCTACATCTCTCCACACCGCTTAAACCAACAGTAAGAGACGCCATCCACTGGTGCCACGTCTTGGTTCGGATACCTCGAATAATCTTTCAACCTGATCCAACTTCTCTAAGTACTTCACACAGAGGTAATCGGTGACTTTGCACGCATAGTACATATCCATACCATCTCAGTCAAATAAGATTCACAACCTCATAAACCGACCTATCTAGTACCCTTCACTTGATCTCAACATTGCTCACACACTGATTTCATTGAAACTCTAGCAATTTCTGTGGATAGGAAGTTAATAGTTACGTCTTTTCAGACATTTATAAGCTTCTCAGTCATCAATGTAGACAGTTGTACTGAGGAGTACATGTTCTTCTATGTTGGATGGCAATGTAATGATGTTTCGATTATGTAAGCCTTTAAACTGTCCCTTCCTCTCATTTCTATCTTGAATTATAAACACTTTGGAATATGATGTAGACATCAAGCTACTTTTTCTTTCTTTCCGTATCGAATACAATTATTACTTCATATTTCTAAGCTTAGTTTCACAAACTTTAATTCTATGATCGATGTCACCAATAAATAACATGTAAGTTGCCTGTTGTCTGTAAAAAAACATCCTCACAGTATTAATACCACTTTACACCATAATTGTATGAAAAATGACGATGTTATCCTCCCACAATGACTATTCACATCCTATTCGAGAACCAAACATCTGTCAAGTACTCCCAGGTTTCTAACATTCCTCCAAATGTTGTCAGTCCGTGATGAATACTGACCTGAAATAGTCAAACATTTTATCAATCAAAATTATTGAGTAGACTGTTGTAACTAACTAATATCATATTTCTTTGTTTCAAAGTTATCTAAGAGTCCTTTTAGGATGATAGAATTCTTAATCCTATGGAACATTTATTTATTATTTGACGTCAGATCAGTTGAAATAAACTCCGATGCATTTTTGTCTAGGTAACTAACGTGTAATCTCATTATATTATGCGCTGAAAACTCGCTCCACTCCATTTCAGCTGGTAGGAAAAAGTTACATCTCACTAACCCGGCTAGCAGATATCAAATATGACTCACAAATTAGTAGATAAACTTTTAAGAAGAATTAAGTTTGGTTCATTATTAGTTAGAAGCTTCATAAATCGATGGATGACCTAGGAGTATCTGCATCCCATTAGCTACAGTAACCGATGGATAGGAATACGTAATAAACTCAAGGATCAGTAGCATCACTTCCAACGTTATTCATTGTATTGCTTCACATTAAGTGAATGATACTTCATAAGCGGTAGTATAAGACCAGATGTAACTTATTTATTACCTTGCACTGGTTAGAAATGGATGTTCAAGTTAAAAGGTTTCTTTGACAGCTAGCGTTAACTGACCTATTAGTTGGTATGATGGAATACCGCTTCCAACAATGAAGAGTATTATTATTTATTGATATACTTTTAAGCGATAGGTACGAGGTTCGAGTCCCAGTAAGAGAAATATCACTCACTGGGGTAAAGGCACATCCAGCTGACGAGTTCCATATAGGACGAAACCCGCGTCCTGGATTCCTCTACTAGCCACAACCAAGGAAATTACCATAATGAAGATTATTTTTAGATTCCTCATGAGTAGGTGACTAGTATGTATAATTTATTTAATCCTGATGCATAGTTCTCGGCCTTCAAGTTTCTCACTTGAATATTCTCGGCCTTCAAGGTTCTCAAGGTTCTCACAACGAAGACGGGACTTCAAGTGAACGTAGAGAAGACAGAGGTGATGAAGATACCGCACCACCAACAACAACAACAAACTCCAATCACCATCAACGGGAGAAACTTAAAGGAAGTAACCTCCTTCACCTATCTAGGAAGCACTGTTTCAACTACAGGCGCCACAGGCACAGACGAGGATGTCAAAGTCAGAATGGGAAAAGCAAGACAGGCGTTCATTAGCTTGAAATCAGTGTGGAGACCTTCTGCACTCCACTCAGCATGTGGAACAAGATGTGGATTTTCATCACCAACATCAGTCAAGTCAGTGCTCCTGTATGGCTCAGAGACTTGGCGCGTCACGAAAGGGATTTCCAATAAGCTACAGACATTCATCAACAACTGCTTACGCTGGCTCGCTACTGAAGATCAGATGGATTACCAGAAAGAATGAGCAACAAGGAGCTCTGGGGACGAACCAACCAAGAACCTATCACTCAACAAATATGCAGGAGGAAGTGGAGATGGATTGGGCATGTACTGAGAAGGCCGACTGAGGACATCACGCGTCAGGCCAGTTGCTCGAGTGGAATCCCCATGGGAAGCGACGAGTTGGACGTCGGTGTCGAGGGTGACATGGAGGAGATCGTGCGAGGAGGAAATGAGAGGTTGTGGGGTGTCGTGGAACCAGGTTCAAAAGATTTTAGAGAAGAGAGTGGAGTGGAGACGTGCTACAGAATCCCTATGTTCCATTAGGAACCCAAGGGACTAATAATAAATAATAATGATGCAGAGTTCGATATGGAGCTACACAAAAACACCTCATACCGTCATCTGTATGTGTGTATGAACTAACAGAAGATGGATAGAGTAGCTCTTGTCGACTTCCCCCTGCTTTTATGATACCATCATCATTATCATCAATATTATTACCTTTTGTATGTAATAATCAAAAAGTATTTCTTACCTATACAATGGAAATGATTGTTTACTCTCTAATTGTTCACATAACCTTGATGTATAATTTGAATTTAACAAAGAATTATTCTGTTTTGTATACTTGGATGAACCAATAGCTGAATCATTAAATGTTGAAGATGTTGTTGTCTTTGCTGTCATTGAATAAACAGAATGATTAGAATTATTTTTATCTTTGTTTAAATATGATTTTATTGGATTGTTTGTAATCAATGTAGAATTTATACAGTAATGAAGTGAATTATCATTATTATTATTGTTTTTATTAACATTATCATTATGATCAGTTTCATTTTTATATGTTGAACAATTGAACATGCTTGAATGTTGATCAGATTGATATGAACAAGGCGGATTGATTGAACTAACCCATTCAGCAACACGAAATAATGAACTGTTAGCAGTACAAGATGTATTCGTATAGTGATTACTAGTACTACTAGTGGTAGTAGTGGCTGTAATAGTAGTAGCAGTAGTGTTGTTATTCTGTAATAATGTCAATATGTCTATAGATTTTCCAGTTTTATTCATTTTTGACGGTTGTGTTCGAGATCTTAATGAATGTTGATATTTCATCTTTGTACAATTATGAGATTGAAGTTGATGCGATGACGTAACAGAAAGTGACCTATTGAAGATAGGAACATTTTTCAAATGACCTCCATTATTTTCTTTAACTTTCATGCTATTGGTTTAAACAAATAGATAGAAAATATTTATATATTTCAAATGTCAATATTTTTATTTAATTGTTGAACTTTGTGATATTTAATTTCTTTAAATAAAGGCATTAGTAACAGGTTTTTCAAAATTTCAATAGAATGAAATGGAGTTTTCTAGATCCATTAGTACAATTAAAGCTAAATAAAATTTGTAGACCAAAAATTTCGCTTTTTTTTTATGACTTTTCTTTCGATGACAGTTTGGTGCCCTTAAGCGATAAGCATTTATCATTCATAATTCTGTTCATCTTATGAGAAATTTATTTGCTCAGATATGAATGATGGATATTGGTTATCGGCGGAATCCAGTATACGTGTTTCTTCCAGTTTGGGGGCTCGTCAGCTGGATATATCTACCTTCCTCTAACAATACCATTCATTGAGGAGGCAGGAACATCCACCTGATGAGTCATAAATAGGATGGAGCGCATATCTTGGGTCCTACTAGTAGCCACTATCTGTCATTAATGTTTTAAATGAAAATCTCGACAATATCAAGGTATCCGTAGAAGAGATTATATGCCAATTGTGGTCGAGGGATTTGGTCCAGTCAGCGATGAAGACTTACAAGCCATAACATAAAATCTTTACTTATTAAACATAGAATAGTTTTCTTCTTGAAATGGTGTAGCTGATGATGTGGATAATGACGATGTTTTATTTTCCTAGCTTGGACACTTTTGTGATGGAATTTTGAATATGAGGCAGGGTGACATTAACAGTACTTACTTCATCAACAATTGCTGATGATGTTACCAGGCGTGATAATGAAACGTCCCTGACTAGTTTTGTTTTGATGACTAAATGTTTACCTGTTTAATTTCTTGTCTGTATAGACATAAAGCCTCTAGTGGAAAGTATCAGGTTTTCGGATCCGAGAAAAATTCATCACTTACATTATATTCCACTCCACCTCAGTAACGTTAACACTTACGCTTAGAAAGAAGACTGACTATATAAAATGAGTATATGATAAAGAATTTACTAAAGAAGTGGTGCCTACGTTCATAGTGATACTCATCTGAAATGGTAGATAGTAAGAATAACGCTATCCCAGTGAATTCTTTGAAGATCCGGTAGAAAATATCACCTACTGTCTATTATTAGTGTCTATAAACTTATGTGATGAAACTCAGAAGATAAGAGAAGCTTGGGCTCAGTGAATGATATGAACTGTCAGTCTCTACATTATGACTTCATATGCTGCCTGTCATTCTACTCTTTGAAATGAGCTCTACATAGTTGTTATGAGTGTTGACTTAAATTGTTCAAGTATTCAACTGGCTAAAAACTAGATAAGTAGCCGTGTAGACTTTTATTTGATTATTTACTCACATACATGTAATCCTATATGTCTATGACTAACGATAACTTTATCACTGTAAAGTATAAAACAATAACTAATGATCCAAAGACAAAACGGCAAATATACCATAAAAAAGTTTGTATCTTCGTGTGAGTCGGTGCAATTCAGTTGACAGGAAGCTCTGCTCCACTTCAGTTTCGTGCTTTTTGGCATTCATTGACAAAACGTATCTGTAACCATGATAAGAAAACTGGTACCTCATCGGTGAGTTCGCTCAGACCATTATTGTAGAAGGTTCGGGATGAAGGAAGGCAAGATATCTGACGATTGACTGGTAGAAGGGCTACCTTGTCAAACCCTCAAAGAAGGGAGACCTTTTCAAGAACTGGCGCGAAATCATGCTCATGTCCACCCCAGGCAAAAAAAATATTAAGCCACATCATCCTGAAGAGACGGAAAAACCCTCTGCATTTGAAATCACGACCGAAACAGCCTACCTCCAAAAAAACAAAAATGGTGTGCGGACCAAATTGCAACGCTACACTACGTATCATCATAGAACAGAGCATAGAATGGCAGTCCAGTCAACTCCCTACTTCAACTTCATCGATTTTCAAAAAGCCTTCGATCAAGGCGTCGACCAACAATTAATTTGGCGGGTGGCTGCTTCAACAAAACGCTTTTAGTTCCACAAAACTTTATCAACCTCATTCAACAGCTCTGTGCTAGATGAAGATGCCACATACAAAGTGATCCACGATGGAAAGCTCAGTACTGCCTTTGAAGTGGAGACAAGAAGCATTAACACAAGGTTGCCGCCTACTATCACCCATGATCTTCTTCATTGTGGTGGACTGGATCATGCAGCAAACCGTGAAGAGCGAGAAGATGGGCATACGCTGTTTGACCGATGAAAAGACTCTACAAGATTTCCACTTCCCTGATGATGATTTATAACTAATGTCTTGTAGCACAAACTCGAAGATCTACAGGCAAAAACCAACAAGTTGACAGAAGAGGTGAGGCAGCGAATAAGGGGTCTCAGACGAGCGTAGAGAAGACAGAAGTGATGGAGATACCCAACCAACAACACCACCAACAACAACAACAACAAGCAACACCAATCACCATCAACAGGAGAAATCGACAGGAAGTTGTCTCTTTCACCTACACACCTAAGTAGATCAGCATCGTCTCAACTACAAGCACCAGCACACATGAGGACGTCAAAGACAGCCAGGATTGGAAAGACAGAAACACAGGCCTCCACTAATCTGAAATAATCAGTGTGCAGATCTACTGCACTACACTGCACCGCACTACACTGCACTGCACTCAGCATAAAGCGTGAACAACATCCGGATTTTCAACACTGATGTCATTGCTCCTATGTGATGATTGAGAGACTTGGACCATTACGAAAAGCATTTTCAACAAACTACAGACATGCATCACATGAGCAGCTGCCGTCTAAGCTCGTTGCTGAAGATCAGATGACCAGAATAATAAGAATGAGCAAGAATGAAATGTGGTTGGCTGGCTGGCTGGCTGCCAACCAACCAACCAACAACCCATCGCTCAACAGATATGCAGAAGAAAATGGAAATGGATTGGACATATGCTGAGAAAGCCATTCAGAGACATCACGCACCATGCTCTCGAGTGGATTCCAAAGGGGAAGTGACGAGTTGTGCGTCGGAGGCGAGAGTGACATGGAAAAGATCATGTGAGGAGGATATGAAAGCTTGTGCGCAGTCATGAAGCCAGGTTGAAACGACTGCAGAGAACATAGTGCAATGGAATTGTGCTAGTGATGCTCTTTATTCCACTAGGAACCTAAGGGACAAATAATAATAATCGGTGACTTCAACCTGGGTCACTCACTCAGTGGTAAATTCAAATATATTGCACCATTTAACTTGTTGGCCAAATTGCAAACTTCAATAACTTCGTTACTATGAACTTAATAGCCATGTTTTTCAAGTTGATATTCATCATGGACTGACATCAGTTGGAGGAACATTGGAAACCTACTTCTCATTAGTATGAGACTCCTCAGCAGTAACTACCCATGATTCCGCCCTGCCAACGACCAAACCCAGCATCTTCAGGTTCCATGGCCAGCGCGTTTCTATCGAGCCACTTGGTCAGTTCACAATAGAGCACAACCATCACCCAATGTCATCGTTGAGTATTTGTTCTCACGGCTACCATTTTTCTCCCGCTGGTCACGACTTCTCATTAGAACTTCAGGAATCACCTCCGGAAGCTAGTTAGCAAACCTGGTGGCCGTGAGAACAAATACTCAACGATGACATTGGGTGATCGTTGTTCTCTACTGTGAACTGACAGAAGTTGGAAATATGGATTACTGGTCACGGGGCCTCGAAGGTCCTGGGTTCGATCCCTGGTGGGGCGGGGTCATAGGTGCGCACGTCTGAGAAGTCCTATACTAATGGGGTGAAACAGCTGTTCAGTGTTCCCAGGTTTCCAATGCTCCTCCAACTGATATCAGACCATGATGAATATCAACCTGAAAAAACACTAGATCCCTACAAACCCCCAAATTGAACACCTATAATCGTGTTCAGCGAAAGCTTCTTGGTAAACACTACTTTGGAACATACTAAATGATCTATATTCCGAACAGAATAGTGATTCCCCTGAAGTTTAAGATACGTTTTTCTACGTTCAGTACTAAGAAGCATGATAAAAAATAGATGAGAGAACTTCATGCCAAAGAACTTCAAGCATTCTTCATTGTTGTCGATATTGTAACATGATGTCTAATCACCTGCTATAATGGTCACATTTCTAACTCGATTGAAAGACTATGCTCAGCAACTGAGAGAGTAGATTCTAATCAGTGTATTTTATTTTGATCATTATCAATTCGACTAACTCAATGGTAAGGTCTTTGATTAGTTGGTATAAATTCGAACATCTGCGACGGAAGTAATTGTATGTATATCACGACTTATCTATCATTAGTGATATGTGGATGATACGTTTACAGCACTGAAATCGGAACACATCAGTAGTGAATGGAATCCAACTTACCTGTGACTTAGACAGTGATGAAAGTGAGCTAGCAATCGTGCATTACAAGATTAAACGAACATAAGAAGGAAATCTAGAGACTAGTGTCCATAGGAAACCTACCTATTCGAATCGCTACTTAGACTTCGAATGCTTAAGGGATAGAGCGAAAAAGCTTACTAGGGGACCGGAAAATCTATGACAAGAAATTAGACACATCAAGAATACCCTACGTCCCAATAATTACCCACGAAAATTTACCAATACAGGTATTATTAATAATAATTCCACTACTAATGGTAATAATGGTGACAGGGTCAAGAGAGAATTCAAAGCCTCTGCTATGTTACCATACAAGGAGAAGGCATCTCACAAGCATTATGAAGAATTCTCAACAAGGCTGAGATTAAAGTGGCATTCAAACCAACAAACTCACTTAGAAACAATCTTTGTAGGTTAAAAGATCCTATCCATGCAATTGAGCAAAATAATCTGGTTCACCAAATCCCTAGTAATGATTGCGAGGTCAAATATGTCGGTGAAAGTAGTCAACCAGGGTAGATTAGAATAACAGAACATAAAAACTCCACTAAATCAAATGTGGTAGATCGTAATAAGATAAGAAATCTAGAGAAAAGGTCGGCTATAGTCCTGCATGCGATAACACACAAACACACAGTAGGGTAGGGTAGGGCGACAGTGTTGAAAACTAACTTAGTTAGGTGGAGTGAGGGAGAGATTGATAACCGAGTCTTTGTACTATCGAATCAACACCAAATACATGCAGCAATGGAAATGATTCTACACCTGTTCTATATATTACAGCTTGTTGATTGGTACTGACTATCAAGAAATTCGAGTTTAAAGTTCTCTCTTGCTGATTACTTTTCACTGTCTAATCCGTGTACACACACTTATAAAATTCTTTTTTTTCAACTGAAAATAATAATATAAAGTAACAAGAAGAGATTTAGTGTTAAGAATAATAAGTAAACAGGGCACTATACCTTGATAAACAATCAGTTTGATTGTCATTTGATAATGATGATGATGATGTGTAGACAACTTCATTAACCATTGAACAATTGAATGATGGTGATTTTGTGTTCTTTAAATTTGATATTAATTCATCATCTTCATTTAAACAATTCAAATACTGAAATGAAAAAAGAAAGAGAAAAAAAAGGCACATAAATTAACTTATAAATAAACAAGATTATTTCAGGTATGTTGTTTTAATTTTTAAATAGTCATTTGACAGTTGAAACAATTATCAGTTCATTAAAAGCTCATTGTAATTCAGTTGATTTTAGATTATGATTAATTAAGCTTAGAAACTAATATGATGAAATACTCACAAGTGTATATTAGTCGGCTTATTAGTTTAGGGGGGGGGATAACTTCCAAGGATTAATTAATAATTCCAAGTACCACTACACTTGCTAAAGTTTGGTCAATCAAATGGTAGTATCATTTCACCCCTATCCAAATGATGTGACTAACTATGTACTGCATAAATGTGTACAAGGTGGCCGAGTGAATTTCAGTTGATTATTTCGTATGAATTGGTCTCCAGTGAGTAATTCATGTACCTGGTTACCCTTTAATAATCACTACAAATAAGTGCGAAACCTAGGTCCAGCAAAAATTCCTGCCCAATTAACTTCCACTATACAACACATGTTTGTTTTCTATCAACATGGTAAGACTTGGGATGATTTGAGGTCATCGTGTTACTTAGATGTCTTTTCAACTTCAATCTGCGTCCGTAAAAAGATCATTCCGTTGAACAAGAGTAGTAATTTTGTTAATGATGATGGATTGTGGCTAGCAGTGGAATCCAGGATGCACATTTCGTCCTATTTGGGACTCGTCAGATGGATGTACCTGCACCCCAGTGAGTGATGTTGTTCCCACCGGGATTCGGACTCGGGAGCAGTCGCTTCAAATGCTAAGGAGCAATCTATTACACCACCGAGCCATGATAGCCACTTCTTGTGTGACGGGTTTAGTTCATGTATAATTGTTTTTATATGATACCGGCGTTTGAAGTGATCGCTCCCGAGTCAGAATCCCGGTGGGACCAACATCACTCACTGTGAAGCAGGTGCATCCAGCTGACGAGTCTTGAGTCTGGATTCCACTACTAGCCACGATCCATCATTAACATAATTAGAACGCTGGCAATATCGAGGCATCCGCACAGGAGCCCATATGCTAATAGAGACCGATCAATTCGGTCCAATCAATGACGGTATGATATAAAAACAATTATACTAAGAGTAGTAATTGATTAACTAGTTTCCTTCCTTCTCTTCATTTTTGTCTGAGATGAAACAGAAGCTGTTATAACAAAAAGATATGTCTCTTATTTATGAGTATCACATGAAAACTATGTAAAATGTTTGATATAGAGAGGAATAGTTCAACCCGACTACAGTTAAGTATCTCTACAACTCGGTAACGGCAACCAGGAGACCATCGATTCGAATGCTCTTCCAAATTTCATCTTTCTGTACGGTTAAAATATCAAAGGATAGGAATAGAGAATTTTTAGAGACCTTATTTCAATTTGTTTATATTCTCAACTTTCAATGTCGACATAAATCATACCCTATACTTATAGTGAAAAAAAGAAATTTACGTATTAAACATTAATTATAACATACAATTAGATATTTGAACTAGCAGAAATGAAAGTAATCCATCCATTCCGAACACTGGGTGACGTGGGTTCGAATCTCAGGCGGGACATCAGTTACGTCCAGGTTGCAGATATGCCTTACTGACAACTGCCAAAAAGCATGAAACTTAGGTCAGGGGCTTCCTGTCGATTGCCTTCAACCAACTAACATCTACTAATGTGCACCGTGATGCTGAGCTTCCTAGTTTGGTTGCTATGTTGAAAATATGATCAATAGGAATCAGTCTACACTTAGGACTACATAACATGAAATTGGTTGCACTCCCGTCACCAATCAATACACTATTGAAATTTACATATATGTAGAAACATTTTTGAACTATACCTAACTGTAAAATGATTACGGATAATGTTTCAAATAGTTGAAGTGTTTCTAAAACTATCGGTTAATAGTTAACAGTTAATTGTCTACAGTATTTAGTCAAATTGCTTTAGAATAGAATAAGTTGTCATAAACAAAAATAATTGTTTAGATTATTTCGGTGACTGAAAATGGAATCCAGGACATAGGTTTCGTCTTATCTGCGACTCATCAGCTGGACGTACACCTACACCTCAGTGAGTGATCTTGTTGCCATTTGAACTCAGACCCAGTACTCTTCGTTTTCAACGCAAAAGTATCATCTATCAGGCTACTGCAGAACCAGAACCATCACTTGTGTGACCAGTATCATTTGTTACTGTTTGATTCTTGTAATTTCCTGTTGCTATACAAGGTCGAATTACTCTACCTCTGTTAACAGATGGGCTACAAAGCGGATGCCTCGATGCTGCGATGAGTACTGCGTTAGTGTCTCAGTGGAAACAAGATCACTCACACGGGTACAGACAAATCCAAATGACAAGTCCCAAAGAGGACAAAATGAGCAATATGGATATCTGCCAATATCAGCGCATCCGCATAACAACCCGTCTACCAACAGATGTCGAGTAATTAGACCCTGTAAAGCAATGGGAAATTATTCTTATTTATCACTTGGGTTCCTAGTGGAATATAGAACATCACTAGCACACTCCCATTGCACTATGTTCTCTGCAGTCGTTTCAACTTGGCTTCATGACTGCGCACAAGCTTTCATATCCTCCTCACATGATCTTTTCCATGTCACTCTCGCCTCCGACGCACAACTCGTCACTTCCCCTTTGGAATCCACTCGAGAGCATGGTGCGTGATGTCTCTGAATGGCTTTCTCAGCATATGTCCAATCCATTTCCATTTTCTTCTGCATATCTGTTGAGCGATGGGTTGTTGGTTGGTTGGTTGGCAGCCAGCCAGCCAGCCAACCACATTTCATTCTTGCTCATTCTTATTATTCTGGTCATCTGATCTTCAGCAACGAGCTTAGACGGCAGCTGCTCATGTGATGCATGTCTGTAGTTTGTTGAAAATGCTTTTCGTAATGGTCCAAGTCTCTCAATCATCACATAGGAGCAATGACATCAGTGTTGAAAATCCGGATGTTGTTCACGCTTTATGCTGAGTGCAGTGCAGTGTAGTGCGGTGCAGTGTAGTGCAGTAGATCTGCACACTGATTATTTCAGATTAGTGGAGGCCTGTGTTTCTGTCTTTCCAATCCTGGCTGTCTTTGACGTCCTCATGTGTGCTGGTGCTTGTAGTTGAGACGATGCTGATCTACTTAGGTGTGTAGGTGAAAGAGACAACTTCCTGTCGATTTCTCCTGTTGATGGTGATTGGTGTTGCTTGTTGTTGTTGTTGGTGGTGGTGTTGTTGGTTGGGTATCTCCATCACTTCTGTCTTCTCTACGCTCGTCTGAGACCCCTTATTCGCTGCCTCACCTCTTCTGTCAACTTGTTGGTTTTTGCCTGTAGATCTTCGAGTTTGTGCTACAAGACATTAGTTATAAATCATCATCAGGGAAGTGGAAATCTTGTAGAGTCTTTTCATCGGTCAAACAGCGTATGCCCATCTTCTCGCTCTTCACGGTTTGCTGCATGATCCAGTCCACCACAATGAAGAAGATCATGGGTGATAGTAGGCGGCAACCTTGTGTTAATGCTTCTTGTCTTCACTTCAAAGGCAGTACTGAGCTTTCCATCGTGGATCACTTTGTATGTGGCATCTTCAACTTGCACAGAGCTGTTGAATGAGGTTGATAAAGGTTTGTGGAAGGAAAAGTGTTTTGTTGAAGCAGCCACCCGCCAAACTAATTCTTGATCGAAGGCTTTTTCAAAATCGATGAAGTTGAAGTAGGGAGTTGACTGGACTGCCATTCTATGCTCTGTTCTATGATGATGCGTAGTGTAGCGTTGCAATTTGGTCCGCACATGATTTGTTTTTTCCTGAAGGCAGGCTGTTCCGGTCGTAATTTTGAATTCGGCGCACTGTTTAGTCTCTCCCGGATGACACGGTTTAATATTTTGCTTGGGGTGGACATGAGCATGATTTCATGCCAGTTCCTGCAAACACTTAGGTCTCCTTTCTCTGAGATTTTGACAAGGAACGGGAAATTATAAGTATCAATTGACAATAATTATTTGACGTGAATTATATCTCAATTTAAAGAGGATTCTGTCACACTTTAAAGTTTTGTTCATGAAATGAAATCAATATTTTTAAACAAATATATGAACAAATAAACGTTAATTTTTATCATTCTCTTACTTGTGGCACATTTACAGAGACGTATGATGTAGGAATTGCATAATTGTTACATTTAGATGCTTCACGAATCTGTCTGCCAATATCGAGGAGTACTTCGGTGGGTTTTGTAGAGGTATCCAGCGTAGAAGGATTGGAATTGTGATTGTCAATGCTCTCAAGTTCTAGAAGTTAAAAGTATGTTTTATGTCTTTAGCTTTTGATGTTAAGCTACTTATAAAATATTCAGTAGGTAAAAATTAAAAGATGTAATAATCTGAGGGTAGGATTTACACCTCTGGACTTTGAGACTTCGTTATTACTAACTTAAAACAGTCTCATAGCAGTTTATTCTATCAATTCAACAGTCTTAGCGATGAGACATATACGATTTAATATCATATCCCAATAAATCCTTTATAGAAACATTAGGAGCCCTACGTAGGATTCTTTATAAGGCCAGGATTACAAAGTATTTAAACCTATAAAATCACTTCGACAAAATCTTTTCTGGCTAAAGGATCCTATCGAGCCTACTCAATGAAACGATTTTTTCCCCCAAAATTATATGCAATAGTTATGTGGTCAAACATATAGGTTGAACTAGCCAACTTGGGTCATTTGAGGATAGCGGTACATAGATATCTAGCTAAACAGAATGGTAGGCCATAATGAGATAATAAATTTGGAATAAAGTTCGGTAGTAGCCTTGTATACTGTCAAACACAGTTACGCAACAGGATGGAGTAGGGTGGCAGTTTAAAATAGTACCTTGGAAAGGTGAGAAGAGAGATTGATAACTAAAGTTTAGTTTATCGAATCGACACTTGACACGTAATAGAAATGATGCGATACCAATTCTGAATATGTCAGAAATTTTACTGCCAGTTAAATAAAAGGATAGAAAACGCTAGAGCTACAAAAACCAAATCAGAAAGTTGTACAGTCACTTAGATATGAGTAGTAAATCCTCCACGAAATATCACCAATAAATAATACTGTGCATATAATACGTATAATAGTATAATAATAATAATAATAATATACATATAATATAGTGATGACATAACACATATAACACTGTACATATGCAATAAAAAAAGCTATAATGAGGGTATTATCGTAAACTAAAAGAAGTACGGAATGTGAACCACTGGATTCTAACTCACTGCCTCAGTGGCAGCTTGCTGCCTGGGGAACCTGAGGGTTTTGTGTCCGATCTTCAGCGGGGTTATGGGTGTGAATAACTATAATGAAAGTATGATCTGTAACAGTGCCCAAATTCTATTCTCATATCAGTAAAAACAAACAAAGCAATCATGATCCAGCAATGATGCAAAGCAAGAAAGGTAGTCGAAACCTCTTTAAAGCTGAATGGATACAATGTAGTGCTGAACACAGTTTTATGAAATTAAAGGGTGGCAACTTTAATCCCTTAAGATTTAATGTCAACATGTTCTTAAATAGACCATATAATTTCCGATTATTCGAATGTTGTTCACAATTTATTGTAAACATCAACGTCATATTCCCCGCTAATTCATTGAAACATTGAACAACTCATCAACAGTATAAAAGTGAATAAATTATCAACTAACTTTGATTTTCTTTAATCAATAATTGATTTGAGTAGAATGTATTGTCAAAAGGAAATAATTGTGATGTTGTAAACAAACTTGAAGTTAAACACTCCTGTGATAGGCTTAAGTTTAATTGTTTACTAGAATTTGATTCTTGTATTGTTTCAGCTTCTTCAGTACGTTCAGATATATCAGATAAAGCTCTGGGAGCTTTTCTACTTTGATTACTTTCCAATGTAGAACATGTACTACTACTTGAGCTACTGAAATTGTTTTCAGTACTAAGGTGATGTATTGGTTCAGAAATAGACTTATTTACGAAAATATTTGTTGTGTCGGGAACTAGAGTTTGTGTTTGAATTGAATTTATAATCTACAGAAAAGAATTTAAAGAAAATGAAAGCCAGAATTAGTTATCAAAAATCTTTGTATACTTGACATTTGTTGGAAAATGTAAATTTCGCCTATCATTTGTGAGCTGATTTCAATCGAAGAAGCTAGTTTGAAATTCATCAGTTCACCCCAAAACCAAGGGATCAAATTGTAATCCTATACTTCCTAGTGACTGACTGTAATATCCACTGTTTTAATAGTAAGCCATGTAGTCCAAAGGAAGTCTAAATACCCATCGATTACCTCATCATCATCAATATCAACATAGGACCAGGCATTACTGCGTAACGGTCCGAGTTGCCACACCTATCACTACATCAAGTAGAAAGGTAGTGAGGTGAAAGACAGAAATAAGAAAACTCAGTCAAAAGAAATATACAGTACGACGAGACAGAAAAAAGGAATGACAAAGTGGTGAGGTTCGGTATAGTGTCGTTAAGATGAGGATAATGTGTGTATATATCTGCGCCACTGACATCGGTTCTCAGCCATATCACCTACAGTCTGCAGCCACTGGTTCCTCTTGTCCCGTACCCCAACCGCCTGGTATGCATTGCCCCACATGGCTCAAACCAACAGTCAGAGACTTCATACACTGGTGCCACGTTTTGGTCTGGCCACCTCGGGCCTTTTTCCAGACTCAACCTACTTCAGCCAACATTGTGCGACGAGGTAATCAGTGACTAGGCATACATAGTACGTGTCCCAACCATCTCAGTCGATGAAGGTTCATAACTTCGTCAACTGACTTACCTCTGCTCCCTAAGACTCTATAAGCGACTTCTGGATTACTCACATGGTGACACCATACGGAATACGGTCTATACTATGAAGGCAACGATGGCCAAACACTTGGAGCCTTCTTATATCTTCCACCTTCAGTAGCTATGTTTCACAGCCATACAGTAGAACAGAGTGGATTTCTGTGCAATACACTCGACCCTTAATAGACAAACGAATATCACGGCGGCGCCATAGGTGGCGCAACTTGGTAAAAGCCAATCGAGCCTTTTGTATCCGTGCAGAAATCTCATCGGCAACTAACCCACCAGGGCTGATCCTACTTCCTAGGTAAGTGAAGTGGTCAACACACTCAACCACTTCACCCCCTATTGTTAGCCGTGGCACCGCTGAAGACTAGTATCCCAAAACATTCTCAAATTCCCATTCAAAGTGTTCAGAAGACTCTGAATCTTGTCAGCGTCTTCAATTAACAGGACTATGTCATCTGCATATTCTAGATCTAACGAAAATTCTCCTGTGATTAGGTCAACATCTGTGAAATCAGGTGACGAGAGGGAGACCTCCATGAGAATATCTATGATAAAATTGAATAATAATGGAAACAGTGGGCATCCTTGATGGACACCACTCGATGAGCATAGCTCCCTGGACATCTCACTGTAGGCTCTAACACGACCACAAGTGTTCGAGTAGAGAGCCTTCAATAAGGTGATGTATCTACTCGACACGCCTTTCAGTGAGAGACATTGCCATAAGACTTCTCGATCAACGGAGTCGAATGCCGCCTTCAGGTAGAGAAATACAGCTATTGTCGAGCGTCTGTAAGCCTGCCTGTGTTCCAGAACCTAACGCAGTCATCGATTACCTGGAACAAAAGTTTTGGTTAATCACGAATATAAAGAAGGTGGAAAATGGAGGCTGCTGATATTCAGTTTTGCAACTGAATGATAACACCCATAGTAGCAGACTTGAATACCGTCAGCTGTCTCCAACACAAAATGATGAGTGCTCACTGTTGCGAAGTTTAGAGCTAGGATGAAATGCATCTTCAATTCTCCTTTGTTCCCTCTCAGTGGTTCTTCATCCTATTTCAAATTGTGCTACAGAACACCTTGTAGGGATGAAGTGTTCGAACAAAAACTTACTGCAAGTAAACCGGAAGCAACCAGCAAGAAGTCGCTTATTCACCTTTCTTGCTTAATGATAATCAATAAGCCAAATTATATCGCCAGCCTTACGGGAACCGATTTTTTAGAAGAGATTCCAACTCTCACTATCCAGTACTGCCAAAAACCAGAACTCACAAGTGATTCGTTTGAACCAATTCATTTACTTTCGTCTCAGACGTGAAGTCCAAGTTCTGGGTTACTTCTTGATGTCTCTCGACTGTCCAGCATATAGATGACTATACCCTGCCTACAGCAGGCAAAAGTAACCGCTCCTAACTTTTAACTGAACAAAGAAACTGAGATACTGGAGGTCTACTAATTTAGAACAAACTATTTATAAGCTGACTATTCAATTTTATGCAGTACTTTCATTACTAACGACCTATGTCATGTTTTACTAGCAAAGAGATGGATACAGATGCTTACACAACTGCTTGTAACAAAACATGAAATATGAAATTGCCAACCCGGAAATTTCGGTTGTGATTTGTATACTACTGAAAAAAAGATAAGTAGTTAAAGATAAAACAGAAATTTTAAAACTCATTTGAGTTTATGTATGCTGTTAAATGCCAGCATAAACATCATAATTATACCGTTCCAATCACCACATACACGAGTGAAATTCCCTCCCTACTTTAACTAAAGCACGTTAACAAAATACGTGACAAAGAAATCTGGAGATAAAAAGTAATTTAAACAACTAGTTGCCAAAACAATACAATAATTGCATTTAACAAAATTTGTCGAATCGTGAGGCCTATGAACTACCAACTATGTGGACAGTGTGATCATAATGAGCAAACGTTTGCATACCATGAATCGGCATAGCAACGTGGTGAGTTATTTCTTAGATCATTTGATAGGGTGTCCAGTCTGTGACTCAAATGCCACTAGTTCTAATCTTACAGAGACACAAGCTTTCATTTCACCTTCAATTATTGCCTAATTTATGAACCTATTCTACCAAAAGACGTTAACTCAACAGTTGTGTAAAGTTTAATGCATTAGTAACAATCACCGCATCAGAAAGATGTAGAACAATATCACCTGGTAGGTAGATGAAATGGGGAACTCAAAATCGACACTCATCAGTTGACTCATGTGTTTAGATCGACCAGTCACAGTGCCATTTTGTTGGAATAATCGATACAGTGTTGTTTTTGTTGAAGAAAATAACCTGAATATTGTTGATCAAGTTAGTATGATGGTTGGGAGATGTATCATTTTGAGCTCAAGATAACGTAAATTCTCATCTCATGGAACAGTGAATCCTTCTACCCAAGCTGAACATTGGAAAGTAAGCAGTATTATGTTTTGTTCACCGTAGTGATAATTTAGTTTGTTTCAATGAACTATTAGAGGTCCCGAAAACTACTATATAGATGAAAAGGAGGCATGAGTCTATGCTGTATGCTTATCATCAGTAATCAGTAATGTCCTTCATTGTGGATTTTTTAAGCTCCTTGTGAAATTGAAACCATCCTATAGGAATAATTGGGTAGCACTGATACGAAAGTACTCTGTGATTTGTTGATAAAGTGTAGCCTAACACAGTAAATCAATCTCTATGGGGGTTTCAGTCACCAGTCCACAACACTAGGGTTCCATCTCACCTGGGATCAAGGGTGTGCAATGCTAAGGACTCGCAAACCAGGAACAATCAATGTTGTCGAGTTATCAACACTTGTCTAGCTGATGCTGATTCCGATAAAGATCTCTTTGAAATCTATCGATTCTGCACAAACCTCTAAACTGAATGAAATAATGTTTAAACACAGAATATTTCTACTTAACTTTGATCATCAAAATTTGAAACGTTCACTTACCGGTTCTTCTGTTATTTGTTTACACATCTCTTCTGTATTTGAGATAAATGAGGTAGTAGTAGTAGTAGTAGTAGAAGTATCCTTAATTAAATTATGTACATGATTATGATAGGAAGGTGGTGCAGGTAGAGGTGAGAGTGCAGGTGAACAACTTGTCTCATTCTTTGATACACTCTGACTGTTGTGCATTAATACTGTTTCGTGGTGGTTATTGGCTACATTCTCCTTACTTGTTATTGTTTCTGTTGTTGTCACCATCGTCATGCTCGTTGCCGTCGTCCTTGGTAATGTTTTCAATGCTACATTTGGACCATCAATCCATGTCTCTTCAGTTGTTGTCATTGTTGATGATGATGACGTTGATGTTGACTGGAGTAATTTTTTAGATCTTCTCACACTGACAACACGAGGCCAAGCAGTTGCATTTGTTCTAGGTATCATTCGTTTCACTATAGTTGATCCGTTCACAGGGTAGTTGATCTAAGAGAGAATGCAACCTTTCAATTACTATGTGTATATTCATTTCATGATCTTTGTTATGTCTATTATAGGTAGATGTTGAGGAATTCAATTCACTACCTGAACCATGTACGATAGGCTGACCATAGTTTATACATGTTGTTTATAAATTATACGTTAAGGGCTTAAAGCACTGACCTAAGGCTTTATGTAAAACTGAGGAGTTTGTCAGTTGGTTAAATCCACTCGTCAACAACGCAGTTTAGAACCTCGATAAGAATGATGTCCACTCTGAAGTTCCAAGTGTCACTATCCTGTATGGCAGTCAGTGATGTTACCACCAAGCTATTTGGAATACAAATGACTCCCTGTAGGACTGGATTAGATACATTGATTAGTCGCTATATAGCAACCAATTTCGTGTTGTCTATTCCTGAATACTGACCGACTATTATCGATCGCTTTGGAATACAGCTATGAGGCTGCCATGCGACCAATCAGAGGAACTTAGTAGCATTTTTCATCTGTTACCGTTACTTAGTTACAGACCAGTTGTAGAGTAGCGTTTTCGCTTTACCAGCACTAAATATACATTCCTATGAAAACTCTGAGATTTTTAGCAGTCATTTAACCTAATGAATTAGATTCATTGAACATATATAACAAAATAAGATCAAGAAAGGTAGATGAGTATGAAATATTGAATTTGAGGGCTTATGGGAATTTAGTGATTTTTCAAGTTGGTATTCACTATGAACTGACATCATCTGGAGGAACATTCGGAACCTAGGAGCATTAGATGCCCGTGTCATCTCAGTATGGGACTCCTCAGTGGTGGGTACCCATGACCCTACCCCTAGGAATCGAACTCAGGACCTTCACGTTCCGTACCCAGAGTGATCATCATTGAATGTCATCTATTGAGTATTTTTCCTAACAGCCACTAAGTTATATCATTACGTGATGAATATCAACTTGGAAAATGAAATAGTTATACGTCTTCTATGCAGCAACACTAATGACTTGACAAATTATCAAGTAGCCATCAAGAATAGACAGTTCATTTGAACACGGAAACAGGTTATTTACACAAAATCCATTGGCTTTACTTCCTTACCAAAATATTTCAAGGCTTAGAGAACATTAAATATTCACTAGGAATAGAAGGTCTAAATGTATCATTCATATAATTCCGAATTATTTCGCAAGAATTTACTGCAAGTTGAAGTAAATGAGAAGAGTAAACCTCTTATAAATTGCACATGAAAAAATGAAGCAAAAATAGTATCCACTTGAAGAAACATGGGTTAGTTTAACAAACTTCAAGAATATTTTATCTCATAGACCTTTCCTTATTCAATATTATAAAGTACTCATTCAGCTTTTATTTTTTGGGAAATATGAAGAAATGTGTTCAACTAGAGTGTAGAACAACAACAACAACAACAACTGCAGACATACATCGACAACTGCCGCCTACGCTCACTTCATACTGAAAATCAGATGATCAGAATAATAAGAATAAGCAACAAGGAACTCTGTCTGACTGGCATCTAACCAACTAACAACACATCGACCAATAAATATGCAGAAGGAAATGGAGATGGAATGGACTGAACGTGCACTGAGAAAGAAGACCATTTGGGGACATCACGCTCCAGGTGAGGCCAGGTCGTCGAGTGGAACCCAAACGGGTAACGACTAGTTGGGCACCCGAGGGTGACGTTGGAAGAGATGGTGTGAGGAAGAAATGAAGGCTTGTGGATAGTGGTGGAGGCAGGTCGGGAAGACTGCAGAGAAGAGGGTGAAATGGAGATGTGCTACTGAAACCCTATGTTCCACTAGGAACCCAAAGGATAAATAATAATAAAATTAATGGTAATAATAATAGAGTGTAAAACAAAACTAACTTAAACTCCTGTCATCAGTATATTAATGTGAAATGGAATACTAGAAGGTTATTATCAAAGGAGTACAGATTTCAACTAAAAGATCTCTTCATGCATCAGGATTCGCCGTTAGTAAAGGTTCGGGTGTCGTCTTCATGCACCGATATGCTTACGGTGCAAATTTGTCATTCATACTATCAGATAAAAACACATTTTTCAACGAAAATGTTCAGAAAGATACAACTGAGTAGATTGAACAGAAGTTGATCAAAATCCTTCTTATCGTCTATATATCATTCGTATATATTTCACTTATGGGAACATCTAACTGAAGTTAGTATGCATTGTAATACAGTGAGGGTAATCTATCACAGGAATACTAAAATAGATGCTACTCTGACGAATATCATGATAGACTTTTGACTTCCGGTATCAGGAAACATTTGACCGACTGAGACGCTGATAGTTTACCACAATGTGCAAATATCTACCTACAAATGTGTACTGATATCATCGCTATGAAACTGTTGAATTTGTTCTGCCGACTACCAATGATATATATTGCCCAACAGTTGAATCTAGAATGTGCATTTCATCCCGTCTTAGATTCATCAGCTGAATTTACCTTCATCCTATTAAATGATCATATTTCCACAGAAACTACAGCCCAGCATATATTGCTAAGAATTTCAATCCATTCTGCATTAGGTTACCATGTTACATGAGTCACATCTTTAAGGAATATCTAAGCATGCATACAGGAGCCTGTATGTTGACAGAGAACTATTCAGTGCTACAGTTAATGAGAAATTACCAGTGTCGATCAATAAAAACTGATGCTTATCCTACAAGAGGTTTGATTGAACAAATAACAAGCTATTGTTAATTCTTCTGGTGAATTATCATCGTCAATTCGATGGGTTTCATTTAGTATTTACAATTCCTAATGAATGTAAAACAAAGTTATGGTAAACCAGAATTTACAATATCCTCCAACCTTACACATGATAAGTTGATATGTGTTCTTCTGCATGAATGATTCTGAATTGTCAGGATTCTTGAATGAAAATGATATCCATATGTAGTGTGTTGTATATGAATAATACACATTGAGATTTGCATGTACACACATGTGTTTGTAGTTCTTATCGTATGTACGATGGTTATATCGCCCACAGGATGAGTTGAGACCAGGTCAAACTACGTTTTACTCTCTCATTCATTCATTCCTATTTAGATAATTTTGATTCCACTCTGTATATGAAGAGATTCTGCTATGGAAATCGAAGATGTTCTTTATAATTTGTAAAGCTTTTCTAAATTATCTCGATACTGTCAAAATCGATCATGTGACCTGAAATTATACCATACAGTGCTATGGCTGATGTATTTTCAAGTTTTTTTCAGTTCCACTGGATTTCTAGAGGGTCGGGTAGAAGCTCTTCCATGTTTATTTTTCTTAATTTTGATCCCATGGGAAGTTTTTCCTACGTATATTCCATTGCACTCTAGGCATTTTATTTTATGAACATAATTCGATTGTAAGTTAAGAGGGATCTCGTCCTTCAAATGGCTTAAGATGCTCTACAATGTGTTTGATGTTCTATAGAACACTCAGATATTGTATTTGTTGACCGCTGTCCTAATTTCATCCTATATGTGTGCAATCTGTAAGGGATAACTATTGTTGAGCTCCATGATTTAGGAAAAGTGTTCTACCATCTAATTTATTGTTATTTTCAATTTCCCGAATGAATTTCACCGGATAGTTAATCATTCTAAGTATCTTGTTCACATAGTTTAACTCTTAACTCCTTAACTTTTTCACTTTCATGCATTACTAGAGTATATGTGTTCTCCTTAAAAGACTAGAGGCGGTAACAGAAATTTTCGTATCGGTGACTGAATGTGATGAGTTGAAATCCAAATATTTATTCGAATACGTTACTTTCCTGAAAATGGTTTATGTGTGTCACTCATTTTTAAGGTTATGCAATTCAACCTGATACTTATTGTATTCACTCATAAGTCATACTATCGTGTAAGTGTCTATGATTCTACCCGAATGTTCAGTCTGAAGTTGATGGAGAGAATGTTGAATTTCTTTATTCGAACAAATTATGATAAACTTCCAAAGTCTTATCATCAGGTCAATTCATCGCTTTATTTGGAAACCCATGACTAACTTTTGTTTAGGTGATATTCTAAAAGTATAATTAATTAGTAACCTGTAACTTTCACATTTTCATAGTAGAACAGAGTGTACTGTTACACTGTTTACTCAGCGCCACAGGTGGTGTTATTTCGCTAAATATAAACTGAACTTTAAGTATCCATGTGGCACTTTTGCATGCTATTCAGAATAGTTCACTCATTTACATACAAACAATTCATTGTATAGCTACTGTTGTTACTTTCATAAACAAAGAAATTTATAGTGCTTTAAAAATAAAAATATCAAATTCTTTTTATATATTTTTTTGTGTTATTTTATTTATTTAAATTAGCAACTAAATCATAAAGTCTTTGTGATTATTCATTTTCATTTTCTTTCAAACTCAGCGGGATTCTTTAAATGTATTAAGATTCAAGGTCGTTCATGTTCAATATTCAACCCTTATCCATTTGACCTAGTATATGATAACTGTCAACGATAAGCAATATATTAACAAGAATAAACCTGTAGCAGATTTCTATTTTCAATCGTTGTAATTATCATTGTTTTGTATAAAGAATGACATTAGTCACTTTTGATATATCATGAAATAAGTCAATCCTCAGTGGATGTTTGTGTGGGTGTGTATATGTGTGCGTTGAATGAAATTCCGTTATTGGAGGAAGTATGGATATATATATATATATATATATATATATATATATATATATATATATATATATATATATATATATATATATATATATACAGACGTGTAAACACCTGATGCATAAAGAACCGACAACAGGGATTGGTGACACACAAAAATATCAGTTAATTAAGACCGTTGGCATTAATCGTGAGATGTTGTCTAATAGTTAATGGTAAGATCTAGGAGATGTGTTTCGTCTTACTGACAGCCTCGTTAGTTGGATGAAATTGGTATTGGCAACTGAGACAGAAACCAAGAGAGAGTCATCACTGTAAACACCAAAATATTTCTCATTATCAAACACTTTCACTGTGGAACCTGAAGATCCTGAGTTCGGTCCTTAGCCTGGTCGTGGGTGCGTACTGCTAGGGAATCCCATACTAGGACGAAACAGTTGCTCAATTGTCCCAGGTTTTCAATAGTTCTTGGACTGATGCCAGTCCATAGTGGATACTACCTCAAACATTATCGAAACGTTATCGGTGATAAAATAGAGTCATCTACACACAGAGTATAGAATGACAGTCAACTCAACTCTACCTCAACTTCATCGACTTTAAGAAGACCTTTGACAGCGTCGACCGACAGGTAATTTGGAAACTGCTTCAACACCACAGAATACCACAAACCTTTATCAGCCTCATTCAACAACTATATGAAGACGCCACATGCCAAGTAATTCACAATGGGAAGCTCAGTGATGCTTTTGAAGCGAAAGTGAAGACAGGAGTGAAACAAGGTTGCCTACTATCCCCCATGATATTCCTGATTGTAGTCGACTGGATCATGCAACAGTGAGAAGTGAGAAGAGGGGGATACTCTGGACCGCGGAAAAGAACCTAGAAGATTTGGATTTCGCCAGTGATGACTTGTGTCTGATGTCACACAAACCTGAAGATCTGCAGCCGAAAACTAACTAGTTGACAGAAGAGGAGAGGCAGGGCAGCGAAGACCGGACTTCAAGTGAACGTAGAAAAGACAGAGGCGATGAAGATACCCAAACAACGCCACCACCAACAACAACAAGTTGCAATCACCATCAATGGGAGAAACTTAAAGGAAGTAACCTCCTTCACCTATCTAGGCAGCAAAGTTTCAACTACAGGCGGCACAGATGAGGAGGTCAAAGTCAGAATCGGAAAAGCAAGACAGGCGTTCATTAGCCTGAAACCAGTGTGCAGATCTTCTGCACTCAGCATAAATCGTGAACAAGATCCGGATTTTCAACACTATCCTCAAGTAAGTCAGTGCTTCTGTATGTTTGAGAGACTTGGCCCATTACGAAAAGCACTTCCAACAAACTACAGACATTCATCAACAACTGCCTACGCTGGCTCGTTAGTGGAGCACAGATGGCCAGAATAATAAGAATAAGCAACAAGGAGCTCTGGGGACGAACCAACCAAGAACATATCACCCAACAAATATGCAGAAGGAAGTGGAGATGGATTGGATTGGGCATACACTGAGAAGGCCGACTGGGGACATCATGGGTCAGGCCAGCCCCTCGAGTGGAATCCCTATGGGAAACGACGAGTTGGGTGTTGGTGCCGAGGATGACATGGAGGAGATCTTGTGAGGAAGAAATGAAAGCTTGTGGGCTATCATGGAGCCAGGTTCAAAACATTTCAGAGAAGAGAGTGCACTGGAGACGTGCTACTGAAGCCCTGTGTTCCACTAGGAACCCAAGGGACAAATAAAATATAATATACACAAAGTATCAGTAAACCGAAGGTGCATAAAATGACCGAAAAATTGTTTCAAAAGAAATGGTTACTAGTAATCATACTCCAGTACTAGGTTACAGTGTAAGTAGAGGTATAACAATATAGATAATAAACTACAAAAGTGTTAATAAACATCACCATAAACCCACTTGATTCTTCTTCCTTAGTTTTTCATCATTCATAGTCATTGACTCTGATGATCCCCTCTGACTGTGTGCTATATCATTCACATCGACACTATCATCCGATAATCCTTTTGGGCCCAATTCACTTATGGAATGCGATGAAAGATGACTGTCACTATATCGATGTACACTTTGTAGTAGGTTCTTATTACCTACATAAATTACTGTATCACAAGATTGTTCTCCACTTGATGTACAATCGAGTTCTGAACTACACGATCCCAATGATCTGGCGTATGATAATCGACCAAGTCTTGGTCTACGTAAATATGATCGATGAATTTTCATTGGTCCATTTTCTGTATCCATTGATGATGAACCAGTGTCGTCTTGACTTTTGTCTGAATTAGACCCTAATTGGCCAGTATCTTTTGTTAGTGTACCGGAATGATTGACTCCAATTTTACGACGTCGAAGTCTGTTTATTTCCGTAGCAAGTTGAATTACCTGTAAAAATTTTAAAAGACAAATATCTAAGAAATGTATTGAACGATAACAACGTTTAACCGCGTGAACCAACTGTCAACTTCATGATTTTTAAAGATCCCATCACAGATCGACATCAACAAGAATGGTAAATTGTTTTCCACGAATCCTGATCTCCTTGGGATTGCCAAAATAGAATGGTGGAGGCAAGTTTTCACTGGCCGCCATCGGAGTGAGTGAGTGAGTGAGTGAGTGAGTGAGTGAGTGAGTGAGTGAGTGAGTGAGTGAGTGAGTGAGTGAGTGAGTGAGTGAGTGAGTGAGTGAGTGAGTGAGTGAGTAAACCTTCATCAATCCGTCAAGGAGCCTGACACCGTGACTATTAGATACATAAACAGTTATTCATATACTAATTCCTAAGTCACACATATTGTGTGATGACTTATGATGGTAGATACATGCTTCATCAAACTTAAATCTGCAGACTGAACCTTATATCAGTCAATTATTAGTTGAAACTTAAGTACCTAAACCAAGATGCTATAGCATACTTTCAAACGGATTTGAATAGTCTCAGAAATAAAGATATTTAGAGCTAAGTCGAGAAAAACTTTAAGGAAATTAAACAGAGATTTCGAACGTGTCTGAGATCCCTAAGTCAAAGGATCTAATATGCCGCAAATAACAACTTTCAAAGAGTTTTAGGTGATCTTAATCGTGAAAAGTCTGCAACAAAAAAGACATAAACATCAAGACAAAAATGATTGAAATGAAAAACTGAAATCTTCAACCTCAGGATGATAACTAACCTGTAGTGTTTCTGTATAGTACTGTGCATTCCCAGATACATGGGCTAAAATACACGGTTGAATTTGATTACCAGTTATTGCTTCACGTAATAAATAGGTAAGGGAAGAATCACGAAACGGTAATTGTCTTCGACCAGTCAATAAAGCTAACAGAACACTACCAATACCAGATAATGAGAGAGCTTTCGAAATTGTACGATTCTCATTAACTTCTATATTATGAATAGATGGTGACGATGTAGTCTCACTATCCTTAGTTGACAATCTTGTTAAATTGGCATCATCCATAGTCGTTGCACCACTGGAATTTTCTTTCATATCATTCTTTGTAGGAAATCTCAATTTACTATTGACTTTTGAACTGTTATCTATATCTGTACATTTATCCATGCTAAGTGAATGTTGTCCATATCTTCCACAACCCAAATCAAGAAAATGAAATTTGGTTCTTCCACCAGAAACTAAACAAATTCAAAGAAAGATAATCAAAGTGTATACAACTGAAAAGGTGAGTAAAAATGATTTAGCCCGGTTATATTGATTATCAATGAAATGTAGACATGAATAAAGAGTATTTAAAATAATTGATGAATACAAGATTCCAAATTTTCTGAAAAACTGTGAATCCAAACATATTACGTAACACAAAAGATGGTGTTAATAATTTTTATAAAATACAGTGAATAGTAAGATTTTTTGTGTAAAGATTTTAATTTTGAGGTGGTATTCAACACGGACAACTTTACCTAGTTTACTGGCCAATCCTAAGCCGGGATAAAGAGGGATGGTTGGGCATCGGATTAGGAACCCTACCCCGTAAAACCAATCCAATCGCTAAAGAAGCATAAAAAATGAAAATAAACGTATTCCTCGTTGGAATCGGGAAGACGAAATGATTCTGGTTGACGAAAGCCTTCGGAAAGCCAATTGGCCGGTGTGTCTTCTCTTCTCTCGATGAAAGCAAAAGTAAGAATGGGGACATGGGTTAGGTAGTGCCACAAACCTTTATCAATCTCATTCAACGGCTATGTGCTAAATAAGGATACCACATACGAAGTGATTCACAATGGAAAGCTCAGTGATACCTTTGACGTGAAAACAGACAAGAGTAAGACAAGGTTCCCACCTACTATTAACAATGGTCTTCCTCATTATGGTCGACTGCAATGGACTGGATCATGCAGCAGACAACTGCGAGGAGCAAGAAGATGGGGATATACCGACTAGACCGATGAAAAGACTCTAAAAGATTTGGATATTGAAGATGATGATTTATGTCTGTCACACAAACTCGAAGATCTACCGGCAAAAACCAACAAGTTGGCAGAAGAGGCAGGGCAGCAAAGGAAGACGGGACTTCCTTCTAGTAAACGTAGAGGAGACAGAGGTAATGAAGATACCCAACCAATAACAAAAAATACCCATCACCATCAAGGGGATAAATTTAAGGTAAGTTGTTCTTTCAACTACCTACCTAGGCAGCATCGTTCCGACTACAGGCGGTGGCGGCACAGATGACGATGTCAAAGGCAGAATCGGAAAAGCAAGTAAGACAGGCCTTCATTAACCTGAGATCAGTGTGTAGGCCTAATGCACCCCACTCAACACTAAGCGTGAACAAGATCCAGGTTATCAACACTAACATCAGTCAAGTAAGTCAGTGCTTCTGTTTGATGGTTGAGAGACTTGGCGTGTTACGAGAAGCGTTTCCAACAAACTACAGACATACAATAACAGCTACTTACGCTCGATACTGAGTTCGATTCCTGGACGGATCGTGGGTGCGTACTGCTGAGGAGCTTCATACTAGGACGAAACAGCATCCAGTGCTCCCAGGTTTTCAATGGTTCCCTAACTAATGTCAGTCCGTGGTGAATACTACCTTAAAAATAAATAAATAATATACAGAAGTTCAGTGTTCAATATTTCCTACTTCTGTCACGATATAGCGTGACCTCCACTTAATTCCATTACTGAGTAACCGTCTCCATGTTCGACTCAGTGGCTCAATGGTAAAGTGTTAGTCGCGGGGGTCCCGAAGGTCCTGGGTTCGACTCCTAGTGGGGCGGGGTCATGGATGCGCATTGCTGGAGTCCTATACTAGGAAGAAACAGGTATCAAGTGCTCCCAATCCCCCAAAATGTTCTTCAACTGATGTCAGTCCATAATGAATACCAACTTGAAATCAATAAATAAATCCGCACGCACACCTCAAAATTGAACGTATCAACTTTAACCTCAACTTCAAAGTTCACTAACCATTCTATTTAAATCTGCTCAAACAACTAGACGGGTGAAATTTGGAGAAGAAAAACAACAAGCATTTTCATCGACAGTAAGTTAAACTCTTGTATATGTTAAAAATATCGCATTAATTGATGTAAAAAAAACGGTTTCTTAAAAACAACACTTGAAAAATTAGTTGCAAACATTCAGTCTACCTATTAGTAGGCAAATGTTATAATGTATAAAAAAAACACAAACTTACTGCTCATTTCATTACTATTGTTCTCTAATTTACATTGGTATAAATGTAGAGTGAATAACATATGCGATAAACCAGATAGACGATCACATCTATGCACAGACCGATTGGATAGCGCCGTATCAAGAAGATGAGCTGCTTTTTCAGAACTGGATGCACGTAATTCACACAGATTAGATAATTTTTCAACCATTTTAGCAGAAATAGACTGTGTTTTCTCATAATGTGTTGTTATTGTTGTTCGTGTTGATACTGTGTTAGTGGTGGCAGCGGTAGTGGCGGTGAAGGAACCCACTTTGCCGTTTGGTAACAACGGTGGTGATAATGAAGCTTTATTTTGATATATCGTATTTGGTGTTTGTAAATAATGACTTGGTGACTTGTCAGAATACTCCTCATCACCTAAAATTAGTAGAAACAGATTATTTTTGAAGAAATCAACACTGTCGTGTAGATATATGCATCCATTCGTATTGTGCTTTGGTAACAAGAGACAGAAGTGTCAGTTCTCACCCACTTCAGACCTTATTATCATACATGCCGTGTGAAGTTGTAGCACGGCGGTTTAAGCATTCGACTATCAAGTAATGTGTCATAGAATCGAATCTGTTTCACCTAATTACACCTCAAGAACTAGTCATGATTTAATTCTTTTGTATATTAGGCGTGTCTCATCCTCCAGCAAAATGGGTCACAGATTGAAACCTCTGTTTGAACTTCTGTGACCTAGGCAACTGGTGAACTTCATTACTTCAGAACAGAAACTAACTACGTATACATTGTTTACTGATACTAATAAATTCCTGTAGCCATGTGGGTTCAAATTCCTAACCTCTGTTGGTTGGTATATGGGCTCCTATGCAGACTTGTCGATATTACTCGAATATTTACTAAATCTTACTCTATTCGGAATCTAAGTGGCTTAGTGGACAAGGCTTCGGATACTTGATGCGATGACTTCTGAGTCCGACTTCCAGTGGGAAGACCATCACTAACCAATGGGCAAGCATGTTCAGCTGATGAGTTCCAATTAGGATGAAGTGTATGGGCTTGATTACACTGCTAACCACCACCAAGTAAACTACAACATAACTAGTTACATGTTTACCTAAATGAAAGAAGAGAGCAAGATCCATATGGATTAGTTAAGATTCCACTAACTGGAGTCAGTTCACGTAAACTTTCTGGTAGCTATGCCTTTTACATAACAGTTTGAAAGTAGTCCTGATCTCCTAAGTTTAGATGACCTTCAGTAACTGTTGCTTCCAGATGTTGTATACCTAAATTGATTTCTAACTATATGCACTCCGGTTACAAAAACATACGCGTCATATATAAGCATCTAGTTTCACCGAACAGTAAGTCTGTGAACACTAGTGATGAACAGTGGCTAGCCATGAAAGTTAGGAGGCTTATTTCGTCCTGCCTAGGACTCTTCAACCGGATGTACTTGCACACCAGTGAGTGATTTCGTTCCCACTGAGTCTTGAACACAAGAACAATCACTTAAAACACCAGAGCGTTATCCACTAGGCTTCAGAGTCACAACAGCCATTCTCTGTGTAGCGTGTATGGTATAGTCTTAGTGGGAACAAAATGACTCGGTGGGAAGCAGGTGCATCCAGCTGACGAATCCCAAACCGGACGAAACGCGCATCCTGGGTTCTGCTGCTAGTCACTATCCATCATCCATATAAAAATTGAAAGTATAGGTGAAATAAGTTCCTAATAACCATTCAAAACGACATACGTTTAAATATTTCATGTAATTGTGAAGTCACTGAACCCACTGAATATCCCACAAAATTTTGTCACTTGTAATCAACAAGCATATAAGACAAGACAGAGTAATACCGAGTAACTAACGGGTGTGTCTGATAGTAATGGTGGATTGTGGCTAGCAGTGGAATCGGAGACAAGTGTTTCTTCCCAGTCTGGACTCGTCAACCATGTGCTGACCAGGATGTTTCCTAAACACCATCACAAGAAAAATACTTTTTATTATTATTATTGTTAGTCGTTCATGGCAAAGCAAACATCCAATACCACACATTGGTTTACTTCTATTTTCTCCCAAGCTTCACGTATACAAATCAACATTTATAGTAAACATTATTCCTTTTCAGTGCTTAATTCTCACCATGCACTATCCAGTAGTTAATGAAAAATGTCCATTCAGTCATCTTTTCGAATTCATCAGGTGTGCAAAAGTTAGTTGTCATGTCTTCTGCAGAAACCTCCGCGGAAAATCTGACGCATCAGAAAACAGCATCTAAGCATGAGTATGATACTAAGTACTACCAACAGTAAATTAATTCTGCTATTCTAGACATGCTACTATTAAGAAATTTAAGTAGTTTGAAAATGTCTGAAGATAATTAGTTTTGTACGGTTGCCATAAAACGCACATAAATAGATAGATAGAAAGACAAACCTCTAAAAACTTACATGAAACAGATGTATTAGCTAACAGGTCATGAAATTCTTCATTTGGACCAGAAATTTCAACAGCTGATATCCGTATAGAAAATCTTGTATTATATACACGTTTTTGATAGTTCAGTAACTGATATAACCAACTAATAGCACATGGTATGATACCACATTCTGTTGGTGAATAATCATAGCCTATCATAGAGTGAGTTTTACCTAGACAAAAAAGATAATGACACCGAGAAAATGATACGGTTATAAGAACCATTTTAATCTGAAGTTAACTTTATTATAATTATAATGATATACACAAATATTAGAGTACACAGCAGCTTTTGAGATAGTTGAGATAACTAGCCAATCGGTATAAAGTTTTGGAAACAGAGTCTTTCATGGATAGAATCGATGGGTCTCCATCACCTCATTGGTTTCAATAAGTATACCATATATACTAAAATTTACTACGGGTTATACATGATAGTGGTGTCAAAGGAACTCATGATCTGTCAAAGACTGGACGTGGGCCAATCAGTATTGAATTCAATGGGTTAACTGATAAACTATCCAGGTCATGATAGATGTTTTGAAGAAGTTTTGTGATATACTTACGACTGTAAACGACACTCATCAAAATATTGTTTCCTACATCGGTAATATATATACGCTATCCGCTACATAGTTGTTCGCCAAACCCAAAATGCTGATTTATTCAGCATATCACTGACTCAAAAAAGTACCGAACCTTAGAAACAACGTAACTTATCCTCATACTCCTAAATGTGAGTTGGAAAGAGAAAGTATTTCAAGTCTGTCGAACTATATTAACTGATAAAGTCGATGCAAGGCAATTCTTAGCCTCTGTTTTCGCAGAAACAACTAGACTAGTTCGGCTTTGTTTCATTCATGAAACTTATTGGTGCATTCACGTCTTCTTTCTTGTTGTCAATATGACGTCACTATCAAATGGTTGTAAGCCAATATGCTAGAAAGTTTTTTCAAAGCTCAGCTTTTTGAACGACTTTCTTAATCTTAAATACATATACTAGTATAATTCTACGGTCAACATTCTCCCGAATCTGTCAGTTAAGGCTATACCACATTCATACACCAATGCCAATGGTGAGTAGTCATCTTCATACCCCCACCTGATTGACTCCACATATCACGGCTTCTCACAAAAACAACAGAAAATCTATCCCTAAGTAAATGACTAATGCACTGTGATCATCAATTCATCAATTGACAATTTGTGGGAATCTAACTCCATTCCTCGGCTCACTACCTTACAAGATCTTTAGTGTACATCATTGAGGAATCACACACTGGAACGAAATAGCTACTAAGTGATCTCATGTTTTCATTGATTCTCTAATTGATATCACTTTTATAATTCCCTTTGTGATATCAAAAACAAGATAGTCAGCAAAGAGGAGTCTTTTCAACAAATTTATTCTCAATTTATATATTCCTATCTAATATATATGATATTAAAAGATTCCATTCCTTGAGAAAGATTTAACTTAAACAATAGTGGGTTGAAATAATGTTGCTAGTTGATGATGTGTAAACGTTGAATGATGACAAAAAGGAGTTTACGTAAGATTTTTGATCGTTCATAAGGTACATATCGATTATAAACGGGGTGTAAACGTGGTACAGTTAACAGAAAATTCAAATAATCAAGTAATACAAATGAAACAAGAAGTTAGCTGGAAGTCATGACCGGTGAAGCCAACTAAGTGAAATATGACGACAATTATTCAACGACGATACTGAATAGAGATCGCGCTATATCGTAAGGTGACAGGTGTAGGAAATATGGGTCATTGGATTCCGACCCAGAGACTCAATAGCAGCCTGCTGGCCACGGAACCTGAAGGCCCTGGGCTCGATCCCTGACGCGGTGGGGTTGTGGGTGCGTACTGCTGAAGAGTCCCATACTAGGACGACACAGGTATCAAGTGTTCCCAGATTTCCAATGTCTCTCCAACTGATATCAATCCATGATGAATTCCAACCTAAAATCAATTAATAAATCTCTACAAACCACCAGATATAATTAAATGAAATAAATTGAAAATGTTTTGTTAAAAGTTGCAATCATTGGGAAGATCGAATGAGGTAACACCGCAAACTGTTGAAAGTAAAAACAACAATAATAATAATATAAGAGTATGGAGATAAATCTAATAAAAGGGGATGTTGAAATAACAAAAAAGGGACGAAGCCCACCAAGACCGAGGTAAAGACAAAGACTGTACATATTTCTTTTGTACACAAAGGTCAGACAGACTTCAGTTCATGGATATTCAAGGCCTGTGTTTCTATTAGAAGTTGAACACGGAGGAAATGTGAGATGTTTAAGCGAATTCGATAGACAACCGTAAAATTATTGTTTAGGTTAGTTGAATGGTTAGAATCGATTAGACGTTCAAGGATAGAAGTTCTGATGCATTTCTTTTCACCCTAATAAAACCAGATAGGAATATGTTCTCGTATACATGATGACAGCAATCTCTGACTACAGCGGATGTACGTTGCTCCACAACAGCAGATGAACTGGTAGATACACATGGATGTGGCATGTCGGGGGATATTGTCTTTTATACACCTGGAGATCAATTAACGACTGGCAATGATCAAATGAAGTTTGACTGAGAAAACAGTCCTAATAATTGATCAAGAATGATGGCTTTTCAGGATATCTGATGCTGCATCACCTTTAAATTACAGATTCATGGACAAAGTGTTTTTAGAAACTGAGCTGATGACTGATTTCGCATGTCTTTCTCGCATATTCTTATCAACAAATCGGTTAGGATAGCCGTTTTCCACAAGCGTCCCTCTTAGAAAGTTGACTTCAACTTGTACACAGTCTATGCTACACATATCACGTATTCGATAGCGGAGTGAGTGAATGAGGTTTCTTTTCCTGATAATCGGCACCCAACTATAGATAGTAGTAAACTGTCCATTCCACGTGGGTTTCCTGTAGATGGATCTTTTCAGTGTTCCATTGCTGTGTCTCGTAATCAACACGTCAAGGAAACAAGTAGCTGATTTTAATTCCCTCTCTATAACGAATTTCAGCACTGAATGACGACTATTACACTCGCATAGGATGTCATCTAGATCGATAGTTGAGTCACAAATAACGAATATTTCATCCGTATATGGTTTATAGATGTCAAAATGAAGAATAATTTGGCTAAGATGAGAATTTTCTAATTTTATCATCAAGTAGTCTGTCATTACTAGAGCCTCATGGATCGATAAAAGTCATTCATTTTCTTCTCAAAGTAATACAAAACAACATGAGGTATGAAACAGACTACTTACCAGTAGCTTTATGTCCAATAGTTATTATACAACTATCCTGTCCATTCAACACAGCAGTAATAGCATCACTGAGGACCATAGAACAAAATTTAGGCTACATATTACAGTTGAAGAAAAAGAAAAGATGCACAATTATTTTGTTGATTCATGACAAGTCATATATGTAACCAAGGGTATACAAATATATACACAACTACTTCTACATTTTGCTAGCTACTAGGAGAGAATGCTTTCTGAGGCGATGACATCATGAAACATGATATTTAAGAGTACAAGAAATACCACTCAAGCAACTGTATACATTTCTGTGCGATAGACAAACAGGTATACTTATAACAGAGGAGGGGGGTCTAGGTGCTTAGATTAGTGGAAGTAAAGCAGAGGCTGGAACCTAGGAACCACTAGTTAAAAGTTCACGACTAAGACAAATAGACCAGGGATTCATTGTTTTAAGTACTCAACTTTCAACTAGATATACCTGCACTCCAGTGAGAGGGTTCATTTTTCCTGTACTTTTGACAATTTTTACGAAATAAATTGGTAAATCAGGTTCCCAAAGTTTCGTCTCAGATGGAGACTCTTCATCACGTTCACCCTTGATCGTACACGAGATCATCACACGGCTAGCCAACCGGCCAGTTGTGATCCAACAACTGACTTTGTGACACTCTAATCAATCGGTTCCATAAGGTGTAATCGTCATTATTGACTAGATTATCATGTGGCACCAGTCTATGAAGTCACTAACTCTTGATTTAAGCTGTATAGAGAGATGCAGACCATCGGCCTGGGGTCCTTGAGACAATGGAAATCAGTGGTTGAAGATTCTCGGTCGCTACGGTACAGATACTGTATACACTCTTTGACATCTAAAGCTCGAATATTCTTCTCACTTACCATCAATTTCCTCTTACATAACTTTCCCTACTTTTATGTCAGCTTTTTTCTATGCTATTGTGGAGTGTAGCGACTTGAACCGGTTCACTTGGTTGATTCTGTCTGTCTGTCTGTCTGTCTGTCTGTCTGTCTGTCTGTCTGTCTGTCTGTCTGTCTGTCTGTCTGTCTGTCTGTCTGTCTGTCTGTCTGTCTGTCTGTCTGTCTGAATAATCGTCATTCTATGCTACAAGATAACAAAAGTAATAACTTATCGTAGAAAATAGAAAGTTCACTATAAAAGAAACATAACTTACTGTTAATGTATCCTGGGTTACAATATTATCAAATTTATACATTTTCGGTAGTCCACCACCTCTTCGACGTGATGGTGTAGGATCTAACAGTGTGATAGCTTTACGATAATGATCAATTTGAAGACAATTCACAAGTGAATATGAAGCAGAAGGTGATGTCGAAGCAGATGATGAATTTCTATCTGATTTTGGATGAATTGTACTTAAAGGATGACTGGTTGATAGAAGATCTCCAACTGTTTTCATCGCTGTCGATGCTATCATTGCTAAGCCTTGACTACTACTGTTATCATGTGTTTTATTCACACAAACAATAACCTTGACCTTGAAAGAATAAAATAAACAATATATGTTATGAATCTATTAAACAGGTTGAGGTTAAATAAATAAACAAATACGCCGAGTAGATGACTGATTATGTACAATAGCCAAATAATTCTTATGATTTGACTATCTAAGGTAGCCGTAGTTTGGCAGACTAGTATTTGTACTGGGTGTTGATTGAAGGTGGGATGAAAATCTGGACCGGGCTGGTAATTCGACGGTAGCTGGTTCGAATCCGGCTGCGGTTCAGATTTTTATCTCACCTTCAATCATCACCCAATACAAATAATTCTCACACATCAACATCACAGTAAAGATCAAGAAAACATTAGAATTGCTATAATATTCAAGCCAGTCACACTTTTTTACTTCGAAAAATAGAAGGTAAATTCAGCTCAGCTTTGTACACTAAATCATATCCAAGACCTGCTAGATCAGAGTTAATAATGCAGCCGGAACAAGTAAATCTCTTTATTCGCTGATTAAAAGTTGAATACTTAAGACTATCTGAGGCAACAATACTTCTGACAGTAATGATGAATAGTAACTAGTAATGGAATTCAGGACACGCGTGTTCTCATATTTGAGACCCGAGGACTGTTTCTTTTCAAGCACTATAGTGTTACTCATTAGGCCAATGAGTTACGATAGCCAATCCTTGTGCGACAGGTATTGTTTTTATTCTATTACTTGTGATTACCATCGTTATTATCAAACTGAACTTATAGACAATATTGTTATATGTGCGGAGGGGATCACATACCGACAGAGATCGATGGAGGAGACGGTTAACATAGTATGATAGCTAGGACGGACCCAACGCTTAACTGTCCACTCCTGAAAGGAGAAGCCTGTGTCGAAACTGTATTGACATAGCAGAATTCTTGTAAACAAACAGATAAATAGCCTGGTAAGTAGTAATTTTTCCTCGTTTACCTGGATCAAGATTTTCTGAATTTAAGTTGTGTCAATAAAGCCTAAGTTTCATATTGAACACACGTAACTTATGAGCCTCTAGACTTTAGAACAGCATTTGCTCAGTGATGCACTCAGTCACTCGACTATCCGCTGCTGACAGTCAGAGTCATCTGGTTTACTTGGAGTATGCAGACGATATTTTCCTGCTGAATAAAGATGCTGATAAAATACAGAATCATCTGAACGTGTTGAGCAGAAATCTGAGTACATTAAGGTGGAATGCATCTGACACCTGTCAAATGTAGGATCATGATCCAGGACTGGTCTGGAACTACTCCTAGTTTATTGATGCAGAGTGAAATGGTGGAGTATGATGTACGCCTAACTTGCAAAATATCTGGCGCCTACTGACTAGCTATCGATGGACAAGTATACTGCGCTGCAGTCAGTTCTGTCTTGTTGAACGGCTATGATACATGGTGTTGAAAGTAGACGATATGGAATTGTTACAGGATTTTGATCATAGGTAGGTGTCTTCATACCAATGCTCGCGTTTGATGAAACCAGTATGTGAGCAATTTTCAGATCAGCCAAAGTGTAGCGAACAAGACAGGCAAGTCGATTGATCAGATTGTAGACCTTAATCGATTGAAATGACTTGGACATGAGCTTTGCATGCCGAGCCACCGCCTACCTTGATGTGCGTGTTAAGGGAAGTTGGACTATGTTTAAACAGGGTTCACAGTGGACAGATTAAGAGTGGCACCAGTCTATGAAGTTCCTGACTCTTGGTATGAGCCATGTGGGGAGATTCAGACTGTCTGGCTGGGGTCCTCGTGATGAAAGAAATGAGGATTCTTGGTGATATGGCCGAAAATCGGTCACGAGGGTGCGCATATACCCACTTCTTGAGGCCTTTTGAGGTCTAAATATTTACTTTGGCGTGTAACTTCTAATGGTTTATTCTCTCACACAACTATGTCTAGAATTTTTTTATCCATTTATTTTTCATGCCTTGTTAAGTGTGGTAACTTGAACCGATGCACTTCTATGCGACGTTTCACGTTGATTTTGTCCGCTTACCTTGACTATCTAACTGATACTTCTAAATTCTAGAATAACAATTTTCAGACTATGATCCTTTGAGAGTCAACCAGTTTCCTAAATATTAGATCAGCAGGATATTTTCACCTACGAAGCTTATTTCTAAGTGAGTTTGTAGGTTTAAATGCCACTGTAATCCCAGCCAGCCTTATTGAGAATCCTACGTAATGTCTCTGAGGTGCCTTCTTTGTATGGTAATACTGCGGAGGTTTTGAATTATCTCCTAGCAGTATCGATATCATTATTATTACGTGCTCTACTAATGTTAGTCATGCTTTTCTTACGATTCCTGTGGAGCTTATTGATTAATTATGGATCGTAATTGTTGAGTAGCAAGGTAACCTTAATGTATCTGGTTTCTTGTCTTAGATCTTCTGTTTTACTAGTAAGTTTCTCAGTCCTGTTACTTAGACATTTTACCAAGCCAACTTTAACTGATATAGAGTGAAACAATTCGAGTGGGAAGGTTTTCTATAGACAATAGTGCAATCCACCATCGCTAACTCCTTTTCACTATTTTCTAATTCATAGGTGAATTAGACCGCGCTGACTACTGAATTTATATGTGTGAAGAAACTGTGTATGCTCCAATTTCAACGTGTCGTCTACATATCGAAACTAAACTTGTAAAGAGGGACTAAATGTTCCTACAACAATCCATTCCCAACCTACAGGTTTCCCAAAAACATTGAGAATCGGTAAAATGATGCAAAATGTATTGTCAACGCAAACCGTGTGCTGCGTACAACGATATTCTTGTGTTTTCAACGGCCCTGACAACTTCTAAACGTTTTCAGAGCATTTCCAGTTAGTTTTTTCTGATACTCATACACACACTTTTGGAGAAAAACTCATTAGGCAAAGATTGTAATTATTTTCAAGGAATTTTGAGCTGCTTTGAAGAATCCAACCGGTGAAATCAACTTAACTGTGTACATACTTTGTCCTGTAGACACTCAGTAGTGTTACAACATTATTGCTCTTAGAGTTTATCTGATATAAATGAAAATAATGACTGTTAGATAGATGAAGGCAGTGGGTAGGAAACCATGTGTGATCTAGATTTCCGACTTGTTTACACTCGTCAGTAAGGTGTGCTTCCAACCTCGACGAAAATGATATCCCCTAACAGCCAAAAACCCACATCACCTAATGTCACATTCAGAGACATTATCATTCGGCTGCTGAATAGGATCTGACCAGTAGCTAAGAATAAACAACACGAAGAAAGGTAACTCTTCATTGATAAATCAATCCTAACTGTTTTAGACGATGAATAGTCAGGTTGTCGATTATCTATAAAAGGAACGGTTCGCTTTGATGTTTCTCGCAGTTGAATAACTTTCCAACTGTTTAATCTCAATATCAAAAGAGTTCCTGGAGACATTATGCTGCCACGACGACATATCATGAACTAGTTAAATATACTGCTGAACGGTATTAGTAAGTAGTAATTCCATCAAGAACTGGCACGGAATCATGCTCCAGTTCCTGTCCATCTCAAGTAAAATACTAAGCAGCATCATCCTGGAGAAACTGAAAATCCTCTGCATTCAAAATTACGACCGGAACCAGCTGGATGACTGGCCTCAGGAAAAACAAATCATGTGCCGATCAAATTGCAACGCTACGCTACGCATCATCAGAGAATGCAGCATAGAATGTCAGTCAACTCTCTACCTGAACTTCATCGACTTTGAAAAAGCATTCAGTAGCGTCGACAGAGAAGTAATTTGGCAGCTGCTGCTTCAACACTACGGTTTTAGTGCCATAAACCTTCATCAACCTCATTTGACAGCTATATGCTACATCTCAAATGATCCGCAATAGAAAGCTCAGTGATACATCTGACATGAAGACAGGAAAGAGTAAGACAAGGTTGCCACCTATTGTCACCGATGATCTTCCTGATTTTAGTAGAATGAACTGGATCGTGTAAGAAACTGTGAGGAACTGCGAGAAGATGGGCATATGCTGGCCGGACTGATGGAAAGACCCTAGATGATTTGGATTTCGCCAACGATGATGATTTATATCTAATATCTTGTCACACAAACTCGCAGATCTACGGGCGAAAACCATGAAGTTTGCAGAAGAGGTGAAGCAGCAAAGACAGGATTTCCTCTGGGTGAATGTAGAGAAGACAGAGGTGATGAAGATACCCAACCACCACCACTACCGACAACAGCCACAAGCACCAATCACCATCAACAGGAGAAATCTAAACGAAGTGGTCTCCTCCACCTATCTAGGCAGCATCGTTTTGACTACGGACGGAAGCGGCACAGATGAGGATGTCAAAGCCAGGATCGGGAATACACCAACACAGGCCTTTATTTATCTGAAATAATCAGTGTGGAGATCTACTGCACTCAGCATTTAGTGTGAATAACATCCGGGTTTTCAACACTAACATCAGTCAAGTAAGTCAGTGCTTCTATGTAATGGCTGACAGACTTGACTCGTTACGAAACGTATTTCCGACAAACTGTAGACATCATTAACAGCTATCTTCTACGCTCGCTCCATACTGAAGTTTACATGGCCAGAATAATTTGAATAAGGAACTCTGGCTGGTTGACAACGAACCAACCAATAACCCATTGCCCAACAAATATGCAGAAGAAAGTGGAAATGGATTGGATTGGATGTACACTGAGAAGACCGTTTGGGGACATCATGCTACAGGCCAGACCATGCCATCGAGTAGGAGCCAAATGGGAAAGAACGAGTTGGCATCCCAGTCGAGAGTGACATGGAGGTGGTGTGAGGAAGAAACAAAAGTTTGTGGGCAGCCGTGAAGCCAGGTTAAGAGGACTGGAGAGAATAGAGTGGAATGGCGACGTGCTACTGAAGCCCTATGTTCCACTAGGAATCCAAAGGACAAGTAATAAATAATAATAATAATAATAATAATAATAATAATAATTCAACCACGTTATTCTCCGTAGATTACACTGACCAATGAAAACTCTATC